AGTGACATATATCCACATTTAATATTTCCAACCTTAATAAAGGAATATATTTTTGAATTTAGATATACTGGTAAATGTTTTTATTTCTCTGTCATGTGAATTTGAACTTATTTAGAATGCTGATTCAACCAGCGACGGGTGGTAGAGGGGCCCAATGGTTAAAGTGTTGACACGTCATGACAACAGCCTGGGTTCTATTCCCTTGAAGGGTGGGTGCTTTCTGTCCCCCCTGCCATGATACTGCTGGAATATTGCTTTTAGCAGCATAATACACTCGCTTTGATCATTGACAGCATCTCAAGAACATATGTTGAATATTGTTTTGAGCGATATTCTGATTTTGATCGAAAAGAATGTAAGTCTTTATGATCGCTGAGTCATCTTGCAGCAATATTACAGAGAATGTACTGTGAGCGATCGTCTGTGTGTAGCGCTTGTGTCTCCTTTGCTTGTCCTGTGGAAAGCTGGCATTCTAAGCTCACTTAATGGTTCTTATCCTGATCCATATTTTAATGACCAGAATAAATGAGATAATAATGATATGCAAGTGTTTGTGTAACCATTGAGTTTGAGTATCAAAGCTGATGTGAATGTAGAGTTGTGTTTTAATGGTTTCAAATGTGTTCCCCTTCTTGGAAATTGTTTTTAATTTATTCCATTTATTAATTCCAGTTGCAGGTATAAATTATGGTTTGATCCTGACGAAAATGAGTAGAAGATTATCAGTGTTAAATGCCAGCTATACAAATCTTGACTAACTCAACATCGATGTAACCTTAGTCACTATATGAAATATGACATGTTTTAGATAACTTGATTCAAGTCTAAATTATCAGCTTCTGTAAATGTACTTTTAATCACTATGAAAAAGAATTCTTTCTTTGATGCTATGTATTGCAGCAATGTTTCTCTCAAATCGTGATATATTAACAAAATCTATTTTAGCGATAAATTAATGTATCCTGACAGTTGTTAACTGTATTGAGAAGAAAAAGGTGTTCTTGTGTTGGAGATATTTAGTAGAAAGTGACACCATTCTTCATTGGGGGCAATGGGGTAGCCTCGTGGTTAAAGCGTTCACTTGTCATGCTGAAGACCCGGGTTCGATTCCCCACATGGTACAATGTGTGAAGCCCATTTCTGGTGTCCCCTGCCGTTATATTGCTGAAATATTGCTAAAAGCGGTTTAAAACTAAACTCACTCATTCAAGTTTAAGATGGTTTAAACAGTCCCTTGCAGTAAGCATGTTTTCAGTCATGTTCTCTCAGGTGTGTCACATGATTAAATTGTTTGTATTCTGTGAATGTCCTTATATTTGTGTGCAACAATGTTCGAAATATATACAGAAATGTGAGAATAGTTGATCCAAGTTTTTATGTCAACTGATTCCTTTTTGTAGACATTTTTATTTTCAACAGTTCAAATACATACACATGAAGTTTGACTCATGGAATTGTTTTCTCTGTTTGGATAAACCATGTATTTCTGTTCATAGTGTTTTGAACTTCGGTCATCTGTCAATTTTCTTAAGGAATTCTATATTTTCATCTAATTTGCCCAATGGAAGATTGAAATAACTTGCTCTGTTTTTAGTGAAGTTTTTATCCCTAATGAATTTGAAGTTTGAAATAACTGGTGTTTATTCAATTATTGTTTGTTTGCGTTATTTTAGGTGATTTACTTGATGCAAGGATTGTAATGTGCAATAACTGTATCTTCTTCATAGTCCAGAATAGACAAATCGGACATAGACATCCATGCTTTCTCAAACTTCTCGGGATAAATATTTGTCACATGAAGTATGTGTATGACAACCCAAATCTTCTCATACAGAAAGAGATGGGGTTTAACTGTCATTTAGTAGTGTTTCAATTCAGTTCATGGGTATAAATTCAATGTTTATTGTTAATAGATTGCCTGATTTGACAAGATGAATAGCCTCCAGCAAATAGAAATTAGAGTTTTTGGTCTCGTAAAGGTTTGCACCTATATGGGATTGTGACAACCATGTCTGCTCTTTTAAAACTTCATCAAAAGATGAAAAGTCGGTATATATTTTAGTTAAATTGCTTGTTGCAGAGTTGCTTCCCTTGGATGCAGTCAACTGGTCTGGTACCAGTTGGGTTGTGTAAGTTGTAAATCAGTGTCACCTTGAACCTTGAGTTGACCTTGACCTTGATCTTAGAGGTGGTGATACAACCACAGGAATCAGATGTTCTCTTTCTGGGTAACTTGTAGTTTCATTTTCACATTAGAATTTGGAATTCCTGATATGACTGAAATATTGAAAAGTAGAACTAATCTCTGACCTTGACCATTGTTGAGTTGTCCTTGAACTTGACATGCAAGGTGAATCACAGGAATCCAAGTTCTCTTCCTGTGTAGCCTTCTGTTGTATAATGGTGAAAAGGCAGACAGTTTTGTTGCTACATTAGAATTAAGGAACTCCTGAGATATGACTGAAATGTTGGAAAGCAGAACTCATACAAAAATTTCCTCTCAGTTCTTGATTCTAAGCACTGATCTGGTACTTGGGTCACAAGGGGGAAGAGACTTGGTGTGAATGCATTACATTTGGAAAAACCATTTGAATATAACAGTCATCAAATGCTGATTGTTGCATAAGTTATTTGCAATCATCAAGTGACATCTTCATTGCATTCATCATGGGAAAGCTGTGTGCTTTCTTGGATCTTGATGCAGACATTGAAGAGTTTGTGAAAGACGAATTTTAAGAGAGCAGACATGTTAGATTTACTGCATTGATATACATTGTCATTTTATTGAATTGTGGTTGTATGATAAGTCATTTGTTTTACTCGTCTTATCGCCAGCCATTATACTAGTTACACTTACCAACCGTGTTCTGTTGTTATTCGTGGTTCTGCTGATGAAACTTTATCAGTGTAGAGAGGAACAACCCACCCCATCAGCGTACAACCATACACGATCAACTGACTTCACAGTCACAGGAGTAACTTCATACAACAAGGATAGGTTGCTCGGGGACCAATTCAATCTGCAATGCCCAATGGGGTGCCAGTTAATAGTGTTTGCTTGTACCATATTTCCTCTAATAAGCACCTTGGCGCTTATATTTTTCAACGGACTTCCAGACCCGGTGTAGCAGGCCACGTCTTTCCCAGTCTAAACTTCTCCCGGGGAAAGTTTGGGCTAGGCTAAAAGTCTCCCACCTGTTTAAACTAGGATATTTTGTTCTGTTTTCTATGAAAAGGGGGGAGATTCTGGCCTTGTTAGGCTACCCTTGCTCTTATATCAAAATGGAGGAGAATAAGTAATTACAAACATCAAACCCTTGTCTTTATATCAAGTGGTTTGGTAATTACACATCAAACCGATTTTGCCAAATAGTACACATTTTTGCCTAGTCCATTCTTGGATGTAGTGATTTGAATGCTTACATGTTTGAACGGCATATATCTCTAAATCCATCCTGCTCCTGCCGACATTCCTATAAAGACACATTGCATTAGTTCTTTATCTGTCCAAATCATGTCACCATAAGATGTAAACATTCAATTGCACATTTGATGGGTAAATAAGATGTAACATACACAGGTTGCTTGCTCTCTTATCATGCTGTTTATTATCCAAAATTTGTTGTATTTATGTATAAATGTAATGGAACATAAGCTCGTTTATTATTTGAGTGAAATATGTTTCAGATATCCATGGGCCAAGTACACCCCTTATCAAACCTTGTCTTTTGAATTTAGATTAAGGCAATATAGTGGAATGATAGATGATACAGCATTTGAGTTGGGTTGTTGTTATTGTTATGTTGATGTTTACGTCTGCTTCCAACGGTCAAGTTGATGTCGCCGACGTGGATGTCATGAGGGAGGGAATAAAATTTTGATGGATACGGACATCCAAGTGAAAACTGGGTGTTTAGTTAAAGTTTCTAATATAGTAATGATTTTGAGATAAGCCAATTTGGAATAAATAGGGATAATTAAATTATTGAAATATAAAAATAAGTAAATGATAATATGAAACAATAGTATTGATATTATATATAATAAAGCAAAGATAAATTTTGTAATATTAAATTATCTTTAATAATTTGGAATTAGGTAATTGTGTTGGGTCAAACATGATTATTTTTACCAGTGGTTTTTAATATTTTAGTACTGTCACAGAGATACATATTCATACAAAATTATTTTCTTTTATTTCCTGTTTAGCTAAAGGGTCTACAACATATATGTTGATGTTTCACCCTTAATTGTTTGGTATTGAATTGAAAGAAATCATATATTTTTCTCACTCTTATTCCTTAAATATATTTCCAGATTTAGTTTCCCATTAATACAGTATTGGCCATCTCCAATGGCAGTATGTGTTAAGCCCATTTCTGGTGTCCCCCGCCGTGATATTGCTGGAATATTGCTAAAAGCGGCGTAAAACTAAACTCAGTCAGTCAGTCCAATGGCAGTTTTTATCTATTTTTCTGGTTGTTATGTGTGAAGATGGTGACCTGTAAATTGTTAATGGAACTTAACATCAACATGAATATCTCATCAGTGTTCACATGAATAGCTATGTCTTGTTTTCGTTTCTGACTTTTCCAAGACGAAAATAAATGTGAAAACAAGGTTGGGGAAGAAATAGCCTATTTAGGCCAGAATCTCCCTTTTGATAAAAGAACAAGGGTTGGAAAGAAGTAGCCTTTAAGTTTGATTCAAGGGTGGGGAAAGAACCGTAATTATTTGTTAGTGAGCGTTACTTCAAGGTTTGGGACCATTCCTTAATAAATCTTTTTTGGGAGGATCAAGGGAGAATACATTAATTAACGTACCTTGCGATTACTAGAGGCCTGTTGCCGATTTTGCTTATTTCTTAAACCACTGCTTTACCCCTGGCGCTTATTAGAGGAAATATGGTAAGTTATGCAACACCTCACATGATCAGCTCCTCCAGTTGGTAAATGAAAAGAATGATAAGCAACATTTTTCAACAACAAAAACAATAAACATTTTGTTTTGGGTTGTTTATTTTGCCTTTGTTATACAAACTTCAAATACTTGTGCCATAACTTCTCAATGTATGTTGACACTGGCATGGACAACTATCAGCAAAGTCATCTTCTCAACAACATCCCCAACTGTTGGTTAACATATGATAGAGTTTAACAACTACACTCGGTGATAACACCGTTAACAGCTTAACAAATACATATTACTTTTAATTTACACTATTCACAATCTATAGCTCGCACTTCTGCCAAAAAAAACCCCAAAGGGGTGCAAATCCTGAAAGTTTACACAAACTGACATGCTGACAGCCTAGAAACATTCTAGGTGTACAAGGATTCGAACCCAAGATTGAAGGTTTCTGGTGTGCACAAGTAATACACAGCAAATTGCAACCCTTTGAACAACTAGGTGCTACAACATATTGAATAAGTTTTAGGCTTGCCTAAGGTGTACCTCTGCACCTAATAGCAGAAAATTAAGTTGAAAGACTTGCTTTTAAGAAAATATATTTGGCTGAAACATTTTCTAGACTCGCCAAGAAAGAATAAGGAAAACAACATTTTCAAGCATTTTTATATAAAAAGAAAGAAAACATTTTCATTTAGACATTTTCCATAGTTTCTGACTATAGAGCACTAACCTTTCTTGGTCTAACTATCTTGATCATGAAAAAGAATCTACTATAGCAGTGTTTAAAACTCCCAAAATTCCAAGCCAGGCAGCCGGACTGGTAACTTTAAAAAATTACCAGTCCGGATACAAACCTGCCTGTCTGGTTTCAACAATAAAAACCTGTGACTGCCATTTCCAACTCGTGCAAGCTCCATTCACTGTTTGTAGATATCACAATGAACTACATAGCACTAACAGGCAATGCACTGAGTTTAGATAAACTGAAAGTACATGAGTTGTGATTGGATATCTTAACATGAACTGTACAATCGTTTGTAGTTTAACATAATTTTCATAATACCTTAAACACCTCAAACTGAAGACACGAGAACCTGTCTGATATGAAATATTTACTCCTTGGGGTAAAAATATCTACCAGACCACCGGACTACTTTTGAGATTTGACCGTCCGAGATGAAAATAGACCGTTCCGGACGGTCGGGCAGGTGGGAATTTTAAACGCTGACTATAGGTCAAATGACAACAAAATGTGAATCAAGGAATCAAAGTAGAGTATTTATAAGTTTAACCATTTTCTGATGCCAAATATGTTTTAAGGCATCAACAGCACTTATACGACTGTGGTATCCATAATTAACAGCACAGACAATTTTCACAGTCAGTTCACATGATTTTGCTGAACTTAACTGAAACAATATTAACATTTTGAACACAATTAATAGAACCGAGTACAAACAGAAGTCCACAAACATCTGGGATTAACGTGTGTGTTTCAGTCAAGACTTGTTGACATATTTCTGGTGTTACCTGCTCATGGAACTGTCCCTGGGGGCACACACCATCAAAACTCACCATGCATGCAGTACATTCACTCACAACACAACTGCACTTTAAACAAAAATGACTTAATTCGCACCAAATGAACATTTGATTACAGGGATGGGGTGTAACGTCCAGTATTGATCATCTGAACAGCTTGGCAAAAGAAAACATACACTTGAAAAATGAATGGAAATTTCAAAAAAAGAAATTGCTGGGATACTAAGATGAAAACGATTGCTGAACACTATAAATATCATTTCCAAAACTAGGATGCCTGTGTAAATAGTAATTACCTCATCTCCTTTATTTCATGTTTTGACACCATCAAAAAGGATGAATACTTTCTTTTGCCTGGCAGTTAAGTTACTGTTGGTGTCGACGTCCTTACAGAAACTGCTATATCATATAATGTTACTTCATTGACTCAGACGTCCACACTGCAGTCACAAGGACATTATTCGTCACTAACAGGAACCATGCAGTGTTGATATTATTTCCAGTTTGTCATTACACTGTTGAAGATGTAACGATGAAAGCAGGTTCCGACACAACCACTTGTCTGCTAGTCCTGGTGACAACCTGTAAACCCTATTTTCCACTCAAAATCTACTTCTGTAACGCGGCCACTTGACTATCCCTGGCTTGCCTTGACTTCCCATCTTGTCAGTCACACATACACACATGCACCTGCAACAGAACATATATGTGTAACTGTTTGGCCACGAGGCAGTTGAGTATGATGGTGGTTACTGCTGCGCTGCTCAGACTTCATCCATCAAGCTCAATACTGAGCCTAGGCAGAGATGCCAAGCCTGAATCTAAGCAAAACAGAGTCATGAGTGGCTGAAAGCCAGACCTGAGCACCAAAGGTGCGAGTTGGGGGTAAGCGAGTGGTCGGCTCTGCCATTTTGTTTCACTTTCATATGGACTATGAAATGCATTCGGAAAAACTTTGTGAAACTTCATCGTCAATAACATGCAATATGCACACTTGACACCAAAGGGACCACACGCTAAGCTTCTGAATGCTTTTACCAGTGTTCACTCAAATACATCACCAGTGACTTACGAAATTGTATGCCGTAAAAATGAATTCAGAATTTTTTCTAAAAAATCAGAGTTTTTTAAACAAATTGGAGAGCAGATTTTGTATTTGAAAATCGGAGTAACTCCACCAAAATCGGAGTGGTTGGCATCTCTGCCTAGAACAGGCACACCAGTAGCCATGTGACAGTTTCACACGACGGAAACGTTGATCAGGTCATCCGGTGTAAAACACCACCAAGCAAAGGTACACCTACACACATTCAAGCATGTCACTTGACTCTGTCTCTCCAACCTCTTGTCTCTCCTGCTCTCCAACATAGTTATACACAAATGGTAAGACAGCGCCACACTATGTATCACGTCTCTCCACTCTCGTCTCTCTTGCTCTCCAACTGATTTATAAACAAATAGTAGGACAGCACCACACTATGTATCACGTCTCTCCACTCTCGTCTCTCTTGCTCTCCAACTGATTTATAAACAAATAGTAGGACAGCGCCACACTATGTATCACGTCTCTTCACTCTCGAACCTCATCTCTCTTGCTCTCAACTTTTATATACACAAATGGTAAGGCCACCACACTGTGTCTCGCGTCTCTCAAATCTTGTCTCTCCAACTTGGTATACAAAATGGTTTGACACACAGTCTGTCTTTCCATTCTCAAAATTCAAGTCTCTCCCGCTCCAGGTATACAAAAATAAAAAGACATAGACACACAATGCCTCGTGTCCCTCCTCTCCAACATCATGTCTCTCAGCTTTCAAACACGTGTACACACAATGCTACAACACTTACACGCAATCAAGATCATGTCTGTACAATCTCTGATTCAGTCAGTTGTGATGACGTCTCCTCTTCTGCCTGGTTTGTGAAGCCACCTTCATGTGTCTCCAACACTTTGAACGTCTTGCTTTCTATCACAGGATCTTTAGCCTTGGATTTCCTTCTCTTTGTATCAGTTGTTTTATTGCCTGAAAACAATACATCAGTATACCGTTGTAATGGAAACTTATGACTTAAAAACCGAAGAAAGTGTCTTGCGGATAGAGACACCACAAAGGCTACATCTGACTGACTGACTGAGTTTGGTTTTACGCCGCTTTTAGCAATATTCCAGCAACATCACGGCGGGGGACACCAGAAATGGGCTTCACACATTGTACCCATGTGGGGATTCGAACCTGGGTCTTCAGCGTGACGAGCCAACTCTTAACCACTAGGCTACCCCACCAACCCCTACATCTGCTGACTAACGATCCATCCAGTCGTTGTATAATGACCCATACGATCCATCCAGTCAGTGTATAATGACCCATACCATCCATCCAGTCAGTGTATACTGACCCATACCATCCATCCAGTCAGTGTATAATGACCATACGATCCATCCAGTCAGTGTATAATGACCCATACGATCCATCCAGTCAGTGTATAATGACCCTTAAACCATCCAGTCAGTGTATAATGACCCATACCATCCATCCAGTCAGTGTATAATGACCCATACCATCCATCCAGTCAGTGTATAATGACCCATACCATCCATCCAGTCAGTCAGTGTATAATGACCCATACCATCCATCCAGTCAGTGTTTAATGACACATACCATCCATCCAGTCAGTGTATAATGACCCATACCATCCATCCAGTCAGTGTATAATGACCCATACCATCCATCCAGTCAGTGTATAATGACCCATACCATCCATCCAGTCAGTGTATAATGACTCATACCATCCATCCAGTCAGTGTATAATGACCCATACCATCCATCCAGTCAGTGTATAATGACCCATACCATCCATCCAGTCAGTGTATAATGACTCATACCATCCATCCAGTCAGTGTATAATGACCCATACCATCCATCCAGTCAGCGTATAATGACCCATACCATCCATCCAGTCAGTGTATAATGACCATACGATCCATCCAGTCAGTGTATAATGACCCATACTATCCATCCAGTCAGTGTATAATGACCCATAATGAGCCTGGACACACATTGTGTCCACCCGCATTGGAGTGCTTGGGACAGGTACCATTGAGTCAGCTATTACACTGTTAACAGCCTGTGAACAACGGAGTCTGGACCAGACAATCCAGTGAGTGAGTGAGTGAGTTCGGTTTTACGCCGCTTTTAGCAATATTCCAGCAATATCACGGCAGGGGACACCAGAAATGGGCTTCACACATTGTACCCATATGGGGAATCGAACCCGGGTCTTCAGAGTGACGAGCCAACCCTTTAACCACTAGGATACCCCATCGCCCCAGACAATCCAGTGATAGCAACTACTATTCACACCATCAAGAACAATGCATATTATGATACCCTTCATGATGTCACCAAGCGTGTCTACTTCATCCTCATGATCATCATCGGACTGACTGACTGAGTTTGGTTTTACGCCGCTTTTAGCAATATTCCAGCAACATCACGGCGTGGGACACCAGAAATGGGCTTCACACATTGTACCCATGTGGGGATTCGAACCCGGGTCTTCGGCGTGACGAGCCACTAGGCTACCCCACCGTCCCATCGTCATCGGATGCTGGGGATAACATCACACTCAGCAATATTCAAGCTATATGGCATCAGTCAGTACATAATCAAATCTGGACCAGACAATTCAGTGATCAACATCATGAGCATTGACCTATGCAATTGGGATATACATCAACAAGTCAGCGAGCCTGACCACCCAATCCCCTTGGTTGCCTCTTACGACAAGCATGGATTGCTGAAGACCAATTCTAACCCGGATCTTCCGTGAAACATGAGAAACAGAATTCCTACATTGGGTCCTACAGGGGTATTAGGGATCAATTCTGACCAAGACTGACTGACTGACTGACTGAGTTTGGTTTTTATGCCGCTTTTAGCAAGATTTCAGCAACATCACGGCGGGGGACACCAGAAATGGGCTTCACACATTGTACCCATGTGGGGATTCGAACCCGGGTCTTCGGCATGACGAGACAACGCTTTAACCATTTGGCTACCCCACCGCCCCATTTTGACCAAGAATGCAGACAGGAACGTATCATGATATGCACACTGACATGCCAGCTGCTCACCCTTCATTTTCTCCAGCTTCTGGTAGAGATCTGATCTGTCCAGCAGATTGTCCAGATCTTTATTAGATATGACGTTCTTCTCACTGCCCTGTATCACCGCTTCATGATCTCGTGACCTCAACAGCTCCAGCAGCTCAGGGGCACTGATTGGCTTCAAGCTTGTGCTGAACTCATTCATACCTGTCTTGAACTTCCCTGTAGAGAGGGAAAAGGTATAAGAACATTGTGTACATTAACATAATAATAAACTAGAGAAAATGTGTTGATGTTGAGAGTTGGGAATTGGTCTGTGATTTGTCACAGCAGTCCGCATTGTCCCAGTATCTTATAATCAAACAACAAGGTGTAAATTGTTTGCCCTACAACTGTAATATATTGATATGGATTAAAATTTCATTAAATATGTTACAGGAAACAGTTTTAACAGTCAAACTTCAAACTTGATGTGTGTTGATCAGTGAGGATTACAACTTCAGATTTAGATTAATTCCCTTTAGTTGAGTAACTACAGGGGGGGGGGAAGAAGAAGAAGAAGAGGAAATGGCAGACTCTGACATTACTTTATTTCTATTACAGATTAAAATGATAATCAAATCATGAAACTTAAACCTTTATCATCCAAAACTGTGTTCCACAGGAGATATCGCTTGTGTGAGATCAAACGATATCTCCTAGGAGATATCGTTTTGACAGTAGATTTTGTACAATGCCCAGACAATGCTATGACGTCATGTACTTGATGACGTCACAATGCTATGACATCGCTGAACTGCAAGTCTAATGACAGTACCATTCAGAGATGTACATTTTTCATTGAAAATTAATGAAGAGTGATTTTGATGATAATAGAATCTCACCCTGGTCTTCTGATATCAATATATATCAACACTCGCTGATAAAGTAAAAATATCCTCGGCAAGCCTCGGATATTTGTAACTTTATCAACTCGTGTTGATATAATTGATATCAGAAGACACTTGGGTGAGATTCTCTATTTATCCAATAATCTTTAATCTAGTTTGTTCAACAGATCTATCATCTACCATGGGTTGAACATGTTGGGCCTTTCCATGTGGCCCTCCCTCACAGGTTAATGTGCAGATGTGGCCACCATCATTGATCAGCAGATCTATCATCCACCATAGGTTGAACATGCTGGATCACTCCGAGCCATACGCCAAGTGCAAACAGACTTTACTGATTTACTGATGCCAATTTACAGCTAATTTACAAATACAAATTTGATAATTCCCTTTGTGAGTTCCTACCCTTGTGTATGATGAGTTTCTCCAGCTTCCTCTTGGCTGCCGCTCGCTCTACAATCCTCTGGTCGATGGTGTTGGCCGTCACGAACCTGTACACTAACACCGGCTTGGTCTGACCGATGCGATGGCACCTGTCCTGGGCTTGCAGGTCACACTGGGGGTTCTGGGGGAGGATTAACACGATGTTGACAGTCAGGCGGTGAGGTGAGGAGAAATTGGGTTTTACGTCGTACTTGAGAATATTTCGCTCATATGACGACGTGCATGCGTGTGTGTGTGTGTATGTGCGGCTGCTTGTACTAGCCCAGACTTAAGCTGGTGTTATAGTGCTAGCCCACGGAGATACCATGCCACAGTGAAGCATGAATACCCTACTCAGACACATTATACTGACTCCCGAGCCGACCAGTCCTTGTTGTACCAGTTAATGCCGAGTGCCAGGCAGGGACCAACAAGTACCATATTTTAACGTCTTTTGGTAAGACGCGGTCGGGTACCGAACCCGCGACCTTCCGCTCTCCGGGCGGACGCTCTAACCACTACACCACGGAGGCGGTTTTGACAGTCAGGAATCAGGGACATGAGCAACACCAATATTTTATCAAAATGAAAAACAAGCTTGTTTTGATAGTAAAACAGTAATTGCAGAATCGCATTCTGACCCTGCATAGCTGTTACAACTGTAACCCATCTGACCAGGCTAACAATCTTATCATTGACTATTCAAGCTGAAGTGAATGAATGTTGTTGTAACACTAGTTCCAGCAATATTATTGTCTGCACTGCTGTTAACTTTCCCAAATTACAATTATGTAATTTTTTAAGGAAAATTGATATGTTATACTTATCCTGACTCATTATCTTTGCTTATCTCCCTTTCCCTTTCGAATGGTAGTGGAACACTTGAATCCCTTGAAGTTCCACTACCATTCGAAAGGGAAAGGGGAGATAAGCAAAGATCATGAGTCAGGATAAGGAAAAATAGTATTTTCTACAGTTCAGTACACCAAGTTGACTCCAGTTGACTCCAGAAGTCAGTTGATAATTTTATCACCTAGTTTCTATTTTGATTCCATTAACTTCCGATACAAGGAGTGAAGTGTCTCAGTTGGACAAACCCCATAAGAGACCTTATACTAGTTCCACTCCCACTAAGGTCATTGACCTCTCTTTACTAATGTCAAAGAAAAATTAGTCCTTGTGGATTTGCATATTTGTATGAATTGAGGTGAGGTGAGGTGAAATTGGGTTTAACGTCGTGCTTGAGAATATTTCGCTCATATGACGACGTGCGGCTGCTTGTACTAGCCCAGACTTAAGCTGGTTTTATAGTGCTAGCCCACTGAGATACCATGCCGCAGTGAAGCATGACTACCCCACTCAGACACATTATACTGACTCTGAGCCGACCAGTCCTTGTTGTACCCATAAATGCCGCTCTAACCACTACACCATGGAGGCGGTCTTATATGAATTGAAGAAGAATCATAGTTTAATTGCAAATTCATAAATAAAACTATTTGGGAAAATTGGCAGCAATATGCCTTCAAGTAATCAAGTCTGTACTGAATGACCATGGATTGAAAGCTAAATCATCAGGGTTGACTTACAATCCGTCACCGAGCCAGACATTGTTCGAAGCTATTCTGACCAAGAATTCCCACAGATGTTCAAGGTAAAACACAAACAATGATCACACAACTGACCCAGTCACTGTCGTAGATGATGACCGTGTCGGCTGCTGTCAGGTTGATACCAAGGCCGCCGGCTCGCGTGCTCACCAGGAACAGGAACATATTGGCATCCTCATTGAAGCTCTCGATCTGAAAACAGACACATCATGAAACAACATGTGTAAACATGTCATAAAAACATACATCTTGCACTCTCTTGCCAAGCTTCTATAATTATGCAGCAATATCATAATTCTCAAAACCAATATAGCTGCCTTGTCTTCGTTTCAACAAATTACTGATCTTGAATGTGTTCAAGCAATGTCAGATGAACAAGATTATCTTGGGAACACATATGAAAAAGCTTTCTGGGGAAAATGAGCAATGATTAAAGTACCATGATGCAGACTTAAACTTCAACATTTTCTTCATGTCTTGATGCAAGTGAAACCCCGGGCCCATGCTCCACACCCAATTGTGAGTGAGTGAGTGAGTGAGTGAGTGAGGGAGTGAGTGAGTGAGTGAGTGAGTGAGTGAGTGAGTGAGGAGGAGTGAGGTGAGTGAGTGGTGAGTGAGTGGTGAGTGAGTGAGTGAGTGAGTGAGGAGTGAGTGAGTGAGTGAGTGAGTGAGTGAGTGAGTGAGTGAGTGAGTGAGGGAGTGAGTGAGTGAGTGAGTGAGTGAGTGAGTGAGTGAGTGAGTGAGTGAGTGAGTGAGTGAGTGAGTGAGTGAGTGGGTTTAGTTTAGTATTATGCCACTTTTAGCAATATTCGAGCAATATCACAACAGGGGGACTCCAGAAATGGGCTTCACATATTGTACCCATGTAGGAAATCGAACCTGGGTGTTTGGCACGACGAGCAAACGCTTTAACCACAAGGCTATCCCACAACCCATGCCCCCTCGGCACCCAACACCCAAGCACAGCATGGAGTCAGCCATTACCTGTTCTCCTCGGTTCTCTACCGACCGCGACCCATCAAGTCGACAGTACTTATAGTTCCGTATCTCACAGTAGCTCTCCAGTATGTTCAACATCTTTGTCATCTGACTGAATATCAACACCTAGAGGAACAAACAAATCTTTTAAAAATCCACAAAATCCCAGTGCACTGTCTGTTTGGTAGATGCATCCCTATTTTGTAACCAACAAAAAAAGTTGAAACATATGAACATCAAACTATCAACAGCTAGTCATATCACCATAAAGATAAAATGTTTGCATGGAATTCAATCACAGGCTTGTTTTATATGTTGTCTAGCTGCACTCAGGAAGAAGACACATGACAGTAGCCTGTCGTGAAAGTGAGTTAGTTGGTTTTTTGCCGCTTTTAGCAATATTCCAGCAATATCACGGCTGGGGACACCAGAAATGGGCTTAACTTCTTTGAGTGGCATTTTAGAAGTTGGGAAGTACAATATAGAACAAACTTTATGGATAACAACTTCTTTTTATTCGGGAGTGCGACATTTCGATACAGATTCTTGTACCGTTGTAGCAAAATGAAAATGGGCTTCACATATTGTACTCGTGTGGAATCAAACCAGGGTCTTTTAGCTACATAAGCCAGTCATAAGAGTTTGGAAAAGAGAACAATATTTTGAGTAACAACTTTGTGTACAAGGTTGCACAATCAACAAGCTCACCAAGCAACCTGACCCATTTGGCAGCCTGTTTCTACCAGGGACCTGTTCCAGAAAGTGATTGTAGCACTAAGACGATCAAGTTATACCCCTAGTTCATTTTCTGGAACTCGGCCAATCATTGGATGCTTAGGACTCATTCTAACCCTGAATACAAACTGGGTTCGTTCAGTACAACCAGCCTAGGTTGCTGGGGACCCATTTATTACTTAGAATACCCACTGGGATGACCCCGTGGAACCAGACTAGGTTGCTGTGGACCTATCCTAACCAAGTAACACTCTACCTTATGTCCCCTCTTCTTCAACTCAGGCAGGGACCTATCCTAACCAAGTAACACTTTACCTTATGTCCCCTCTTCTTCAACTCAGGCAGGGACCTGTCCTAACCTAGTAACACTCTACCTTATGTCCCCTCTTCTTCAACTCAGGCAGGGACCTATCCTAACCTAGTAACACTCTACCTTATGTCCCCTCTTCTTCAACTCAGGCAGGGACCTATCCTAACCTAGTAACACTCTACCTTATGTCCCCTCTTCTTCAACTCAGGCAGGGACCTATCCTAACCTAGTAACACTCTACCTTGTGTCCCTCTTCTTCAACTCAGGCTTCAACTCAGGCAGGAGCCTATCCTAACCAAGTAACACTCTACCTTATGTCCCCTCTTCTTCAACTCAGGCAGGGACCTATCCTAACCTAGTAACACTCTACCTTGTGTCCCCTCTTCTTCAACTCAGGCAGGGACCTATCCTAACCAAGTAACACTTTACCTTGTGTCCCCTCTTCTTCAACTCAGGCAGGGACCTATCCTAACCTAGTAACACTCTACCTTGTGTCCCCTCTTCTTCAACTCAGGCAGGGACCTATCCTAACCAAGTAACACTGACCTGATGTCCCCTCTTCTTCAACTCAGGCAGGGACCTATCCTAACCTAGTAACACTCTACCTTGTGTCCCCTCTTCTTCAACACAGGCAGGAGCCTATCCTAACCTAACAACACTCTACCTTGTGTCCCCTCTTCTTCAACTCAGGCAGGGACCTATCCTAACCTAACAACACTCTACCTTATGTCCCCTCTTCTTCAACTCAGGCAGGGACCTATCCTAACCAAGTAACACTGACCTGATGTCCCCTCTTCTTCAACTCAGGCAGGGACCTATCCTAACCTAGTAACACTCTACCTTGTGTCCCCTCTTCTTCAACACAGGCAGGAGCCTATCCTAACCAAGTAACACTCTACCTTATGTCCCCTCTTCTTCAACTCAGGCAGGGACCTATCCTAGCCAAGTAACACTCTACCTTGTGTCCCCTCTTCTTCAACTCAGGCAGGAGCCTATCCTAACCAAGTAACACTCTACCTTATGTCCCCTCTTCTTCAACTCAGACAGGGACCTATCCTAACCTTACAACACTCTACCTTGAGTCCCCTCTTCTTCAACTCAGGCAGGGACCTATCCTAGCCTAGTAACACTCTACCTTGTGTCCCCTCTTCTTCAACTCAGGCAGGAGCCTATCCTAACCAAGTAACACTCTACCTTGTGTCCCCTCTTCTTCAACTCAGGCAGGATCCTATCCTAACCTAACAGGACCTATCCTAACCTAGTAACACTCTACCTTGTGTCCCCTCTTCTTCAACTGTAACACTCTACCTTGTGTCCCTCTTCTTCAACTCAGGCAGGGACCTATCCTAACCTAACAACACTCTACCTTATGTCCCTCTTCTTCAACTCAGGCAGGAGCCTATCCTAACCAAGTAACACTCTACCTTGTGTCCCCTCTTCTTCAACTCAGGCAGGGACCTATCCTAACCTAACAACACTCTACCTTGTGTCCCCTCTTCTTCAACTCAGGCAGGGACCTATCCTAACCTAGTAACACTCTACCTTGTGTCCCCTCTTCTTCAACTCAGGCAGGGACCTATCCTAACCTAACAACACTCTACCTTGTGTCCCCTCTTCTTCAACTCAGGCAGGAGCCTATCCAGCATGAGCATCTTGCCAGAGTTTTTCACCAAGGTTTCGTCAGCTATCAAGTGCCCGGAGTCTGCATCTATGGGGTGTTCCAGGAGATACGGGTGGCTGCAGCACTTGCGAAGCTGCATCATTGAGTTCTGCATCTTGATGGTGATCTGCGCCTTCTTATCCTTAACTTCCTTCTTGTTTACAGCACTGGAACACACATCCACAGATAACATAAATCTCATTCAAATCAGATCTCAGTACACACTACCGAAACACAAAGATCTGAGCACATCTCATTAAGGGGATGTCAAAATGACCTCTCATCTGAACAATCATAGAGTTGCTTCCAAGATCATTGTGTCCAATGTGTTTTCTAATAACAAATCCAGGACAAGGGTAGCCTAGTGGTTAAAGCATTCACTTATCACGTTGAAGACCCGGGTTTGATTTCCCACATGGGTACAGTGTGTGAAGCCCATTTCTGGTGTTCCGCGACGTGATATTGGTGCTATATTGTTATGAGCAGCATAAAACTCAGGGGTTCAAAATTATTTTAAAAAGCCACTTGCCACAGGGCAAGTGACTTTAAGAAAGTAACTTGTCCTGACCAGTTTTCCACTTGCCCTGATTGACATAATCATGATGATGTAATTATGAAAGAATAAATCAACATGGTATTTGATGTTAATGTTTACTGGACTATTTATTGAAAAGTAATAAATAGCAAAGAAAGATAACTCTACTTTATCATCATTGCGAAATTTAATAGCTCCATTTTGAGCAGATATGAAATTAAATCCAAGTTTATTTGCAGTTTGAAACCATAAGTGGAAATTATCTATTAGCCCACGGACAAGTAGGATACCATTATTTGATTGCCCGAAATGAAAACGGACTTGTCCCGGGCGTCGAGCGATGGGATTTTTGAACTCCTGTAAAACTAAACTCACTCACTCACTCACTAATCATGCATCCAGGTTAACATGTAGCTGCAAACATTATGGTGCAACCAAGTAGGCAACAAACGAAGACGAACACACACCTTCTCTCCTCCTCAGCCTCGATCATGGTTTGGACCCACGCCTCCAGATCCTCCTCATACGCAGCCTTCTTGTTCTTCTTGGGAGCCTCGTCTTTAGGGTCCTCCACCATCAGCCTATAATTGATCTTATTCTTCGTTGACCGCCTCTTTGGCCGACCTTTTGCATCCGACTCCACTGGAGCTTCATCTTCCTGTCAGGAATTTGAAAAGATTTGTTTACTTCCCAGCAAATACTTTCGCGGCAAAATGTTGCCCCGATTTCTCGAAACAAACTTAAGTCTGAGTTTTGACTTAAGTTCAAATTTTTACTCAAATTTGAGAAAACGCATTTCCCATTGTTGAACCGAAATCGATATCAAACTCAAACATAGTAGACAATTTGAGTTCGGTGAATAGAATACTTAAGTTGTTTGGGCTTTTTTATTTTAAAAATGCAGCTGCTTCAAATTGTCAAACTCAGTTTGATATTTGAGTACAAACTTAAGTTTGTTTCGAGAAATCGGGGCCAGATATTGCTTTCCACATGTGTTAGTCCTTATCCAGCAGCAAACATCTTTGGGCAGGATGTAGTTTAAGGCGTTTGACAAAGACCCTTATTGAATACTGTTATCACAATTCTCCCCAAGTCACAACACTGAAATATCACTGGTTCCTTAATCTTAACCAACTCCCTGGTATCATAATGCTATTTGTACAAATTGTACAAATTCTGTGTTCTGCCATGATTTCTGCTTACACGTTTTCTGATAATGCCAAAGATGCAGAAAATTGACAAAAACTGCAACAAAGACAGGTTTGTTGTTGTTTCAACACTTCAAAGCTATATGGTGGCCTGTAATTATTAATTAGATATCATGAACACCGACATATACGATCGGAAATGCATCAACCAAGTAAGCAAGCCGCACCACCCGATCCCGTTAACATGTTGCTGAAGACCAGTTATCACGGGTCAGTTGTCAGTTTGTGTCTGAGTGCGGTATCTCAGTTTTCAGTGGAACTCTCAAGGTTACTACATGAATTCAAACAGAGAAAGACCTACATATTTCTTCTGTATCTTGTCCATGATGGTTTTGTCCACAATGCTGGAGTAGTAATCCTTCTGCATGCTGGTGAGTGGCGCCATCACCATCACCTCCCTCTTCGGGGGGATAAGCAGCTCAACGTCGGACTTGAGACGACGCAACATGAAAGGCGTCAAAATCTGCCAAGTAATAGATAATTTCATTGACATAGTTTATCAAGTGAAATGAACTATTTTCAGAAGTATTGGGTTCATTGGGGGAGTGGAGGTGGGTTTTAAAATTGAAAGGTGTTTTCCTAGTTTGATACCGCTCAGTTATGCCCTCTAGGTTTTGGTTGCAGCTTACCTGATGCAGCATGGAAATGATGTTTCCTCTCTGTTCCTCTGCCACGATTCTCTCATCGGCAGCATCTCCCTCAATACCCGTGACATCAAACCAGGCCTCGAAACTGTCAACGAGAAATATCTGCTGTCAACATGTTTTTATCAACATTTTGAAGTTTTTCAGTCTAAATAAAACGCAACATGATTTCTCTAGCCTTAGTTTGGAAGAATTAGGTCCTGAGATTGTTTCTAAATACTGCACACGGCAATACGAAAGCAGTCTGTAAAAAATCTAGTCTGCACCACACAATCCAGTGATCAACACTGAGCAATTATCCACAGAGCACGAGTACGTTTCTACACAACTTTAAGCGATATTTATACAAACCTGTAGAGGTTATGAATTCTTTGAAGAAAGTCCTCCTTGGGGTACATATAAGCATTAAAATGTCCATTTTAAATCCTACGACAGTTGTAACTATATATTTAATAAAATATTTACAAAACAAAAAACTCGTTTTGTCTTGTGAGACCACCCCTACAGGGCCCCACCGGACCAACACAGCCAAGAGCAGGTAACTCTCGCCGTCTACCTCGCACCTCACTTTTCATGCTGAACGTGTCAGACAGAATGAGGGGAGGCGGTGGCCAGACCCCAAGGAGGACTTTCTTCAAAGAATTCATAACCTCTACAGGTTTGTATAATTCTTTTCAGAAGAAGTCCTCCTTGGGGTACATATAAGCATATGACAGACTCCCAAAGATATTTGAGACGGAGTGGCATTCTGTCTGGCAACAACTAAACCCGTGGTGGAGTGAAATCTACAACCGATAATGGAAACAGAAAACACCGAGCCACCTGACCGCTGATGTCAATCAGGCGGGCGTGAACTAGAGAGCCCAAGCTTATATGTCAATTGGCTCAAATCAATTATGACATAAAACCCGCCCCAACCATTACAATGGAAGGAATGTATGGGGACATGTCGAACAACTCCCAACCCTAATATAGCCCCAGCCAGACAAGCGTGGCGCAGAGGTATAAGGGTAGGGAAAGCGCATACAAAATTTAAACGCTACAAAGCCAATAACCCAGGAGTCGAGCTAATAAGTACTGCAAACTAATCGCTCGAATGCACCCTCCTGTTTGGAAGAGGGCTTATGGGACCTCGATAAAACCCAGAGAAATTATTAGCCTCGCTAAAACTTTCTGAGGAAATCGAACGAGTACAAACGCCATGCATTGTATGAAAGTGAAAACACCCCCACCAAACACTCTCCGTGAGGAGGGTAAGTGTAGGCCACCATCCCACAAAGCTGATTAACACAGACTCCCAAATACCACCGGAGGCTCGGGAAGAGGGAAAATCTGTAAGCGCACAAAAATCCCTGAATAGCTTAAAAGCGAGCCGAACATGTGTTGGCTCACCATTACACTAACCTGGTCACGTGACATGCGGCTCGAAGAGAGGCATACCAAACAGTGCCCCGTCGGGGGTTCGTACCCAATTCCGTCGCAAGACAGGTTAATAGCATATGACTGGTTAAAGCGTTCAAAATGGACCCTGCCCTCTTGAAGAGGACGTAAGGGACGTATGTACACCCAAACCCGACCCAACCCTAAAGGATGGTAAGGCTAATACGATGTAGTGATATGAAATATATCGACATTGAACACAGAACCGATACCAATGACCAGTTACTAACTTGGTCGGGGTGGCAGGTCACTCTCCACTGGAGAGAACCGAAAGACCGAACCGAGCACGATCCTTAGAATGCGTGTCAAGTTGGTAATGGCGAATGAAGGTGTTCTGCCGGCTACAAAGACCGACAGAACCGATCTCTTCATTGAGCAGTGCCGCTGTGTATTGCCAACAAAGCGGCATCTGCCCTACCCAGTCTGTCTTCAACCCCTCGGGGGGAGGTAAACCTTATCATTGTAACCGAACAATTACGGAAACAAGCCAACGAGATAAAGTGCGCTTGCTAGCAGACTCCCCAGCCTTCCCCGCCACCAAACAGAACACATGGGTACCCGTCACGGATCCCTTTTGTTCGATTCGTTAAATGACAGTCACGGGTGAGCAATCGAAAGATTGGTCCCCAGTGCGGAAGGCTGGGTAAGAGGGTGGAAGTCGCGATATGAGCAGTCACGTGGAAAGCAATATCACACTGAGAGTGGTAGGTATCCGGAGGCAATCACGGACATGATCAGTATAAAATACTGTCAGTGTCGGGTCAGTGGGAATCGCATGGATGTTCCCCGACCCTTCTACCAGAGTTCACCACAACAAGTAAAGTCGCCTTCCACGCCAACAAGTGAAGTGAGAGAGCGATATACTTGAAAAATTAGGCCAGACAGCCAATTGAGAATAAGTGGCAATTTTAAGGTGGGCTGAGTCGCCGCCCGGCGGTCGAACCCTGTTCATGCCAGCTACACGCCGATGTAATGCGAGGATGCTGCCTAGGCAGAGCACCATCGAACAAGGTGTGAAGCGTGGAAATAGCCATGGAGTACCCGGCAGTGGTGGAGGTCATAAGGCTCTAAACCAAAACGAGGTTATAGTAACTCCAATATCCGAACTAAATCCCGCAGAATAGGGATTACGAAATCCCCTATCTGCACACCAGTAGCCCCCACCTATCAACACACTGAACGGGTGTCGAATCCCGCCTCGAAGCCAGAATTGTGTCTGCAACGGTTGCAGGAATTCCATGTGTTATACCCGACAGAGGCCAAGCCACCCAGTGAATCCGAGGATTCGGGTGTGGCGCCCCGTTCAGAGTGAGAATGTCTGGCCGAAGAGGTAATTCGAATCCCGGCGTGCGGGATCGAACACCAACCTGACTGCTGTCAATTCCAGCACATTGATGTGCAGGTTGTGACTTCGTCGTCAAGAGGCTGCAGGTCACCCAGAACATCGCCCTAACCCGGTAGGGATGTATCTGGCTGGACTGAGAGCGACGGTGTCTCCAGGGGTGGGGACCCTCAGAGAGACGCCTGACGTCTGTCCATCTGACTGCGTGAGGTTGACAATTCCGCCCAGTTTCGTAAGAGTGACCAACACTGATCGAGAGGTCCCCAGACTCAAAGTTATTCTGAAACCACGATGAGCCAGTCGCCTAGGTACGGGTGACAACACCGGCACTGCGATCTGGCTATCTGAGCTGTAATAAACCTCAATTTGGTGAACACCCTTGGCACCGTAATGTAACCTAAGGAGAGCACATGAAACTGGTAGCACGTCCCGTCAAACAAGAAACCGAAGGTAAATCTTGAAATCAGGGTGCAATGAGAGATGCGCCGAGTGGAGCATACAGCGTTGAGCTGTGAAGGGGAAAGAACGGCAGACTTACGGGAGAGTGTGAGGCCTTGTCCCGGATGCCGTGCTGGAAGCAGGCTTCCTCCGGGAGGCGAACTCCAACGGTTCGGGTATTCGACGTGGACAACACCTGAGGCAACACCGCCGTGATTCTATCTTGCACTTGCCTCAGGGACGAACCTACTCAGTGGTAAGTTCAAAGTAGCGAAATGAGCCGAAGCTCAAATCGACTTGTCCACTGTACGAGCCTGAACCCCGATTCCAAGGCACATGCGAGAAACCTGATAAATCAAGGTTTCACAAGCACTCAGACAGACCTCGGAGCGTCGAGGTGACCGTCACACCCGGCACACTCGATGGCACCAAGACGTAGATAGACATCAGGCCGAGACCTGAACTACCGGAGCCGGGAATCTGCGCCCTACCAGTGCCGAAGCCTGGGTCGGTGCTACCCATGGGGTTCAGAGAATCCGCGGAGCCGAAGCTCAGCGGTTCTCTGTATATATATACAGATATATATATATATACGTAAGTGCTCGTGGTCGGCGGTTCGAGTTCGAACCCCGATCCCAAAACACATTGGAGTAGCCTGACCATGCAGGGTTCCCCTGGTGTACACGGGTGGACCTCCGCGCGTCAAGGTGATCGGCAGCTCGTCACACTCAACGGCCTCTTGGCCAGGGCATCGATAGACATCATGCCGAGACCTGAGCTAACAGCGCCGGGGATCTGCTCCGTACCGGGGCCGAAGCCCTGGTCAGTGCTAGTCTGATCTGCAGTCCCGAGACACAAGGGAGTAGCCTGGCAATGCAGGTTTCCCCTGGTGGACACAGGTAGACCTAGGAGCGCCGAAGTGATCGGCAGCTCAGTGGAACCCAGACCGGGGTGCCGAGAGGAACCTGCCGATAAAGGTTTCCCGGGCAACCCCGACTGACCACTTGGCGCAGAGGTGTCCCCGAGCTGGTCGGCGTCTAGGCGACCGCCAGTCAGGGCACCAGGCGAAGACAGGCTGAAACCTGCATCGCCGGCGCCAGGCACCTGTGGCGAACCTGAGCCCGAAGCTAGGTCGCCACAAGGTGCCGAGGCCACACCATCACCTGAGCCGAAGCCAGGATCAAGCTGCCTGGGAGGAGGCGCGTTCTCCGAGCCAGAGCTCGGGCCGCAGCCAACCCCCTCCACATGCGTCCGATCCACCCCCGACGACAGGCGTGCTGAGCTCCTTGCGGAACCCAGACAGCGCCGTGTCAATCAGGGATTTCCCCACAGACGACACCTGGTTCACTTATCATCGAGATCAACAGGTTGCGAGCAGACTCCTGACGGAGCTCGGACATCGCGCTATCAATCATCGACTTGACATTATGTTGAAGAATATGTTGCTGCAATAGTGAAGCAATTGAGTCAATATTTAAGTCAGCAACATTGTTTGCGGGGGAACGATAAAGGGATTTCCTTAGAAACCTTTCATCAAATATTATCCCCCGCCTGAAGCAGATTAGTGAAAAACATAAAATCTGTGTGTCTGAAAGAATGCGTGTGAGGCGCAGAAACCCAGACAAAAAACACAACCTCGGCCTATGAGCCACGTTGTGTGTAAACGTATGAAATATGTATCATAACACAACATAATGTAACAGGAATATTGACGCAAGGGCGTTTATTATGAGCATCCTTGATCGTCTTGAGCGTCCTCGGCTAAACACCGGAGGCACACTTTATGACCATCCTGTGGCGGTAGTGTGCACGGCACAACGCACAGGGCTTAAACTGCAACAAACAGAACCACGCCAGTGTTACTAGCAGGAACTGTGAAGCAGCATACACATAAACACAAGTAAATAACAAGAATAACCCGCACGGGCGATATTTAAATGCTACAAGCTACAGCCATTTAAATACTAAACATACAATGCAAAGCAGAAAAAGACTAGCCAAACCTGCGTGTACATACTAGTGATAGAGTAAAGTTGAGTGATATGAAACGAACACTGTCAAAATTACTCAACAACGACTTACCACAAATTCGCTGAAAAGAAAGAATGTAGGCAAGCCTATCCATATAATATGCAAACATAATATATGAACTCCCTACTACAAGCTACCAAGAACATATAGCAAGGAAACCACGATCGCGCGGTCCGCCATTTTGCCTGCCACATGGCTGGAAAACAGAGAACCCACGGCAAAGTTACAACAAAAGATGAATGAAAATATCAACATATGACGTCCATCTAACGCCCGTGCGTAGAGAAAGGAACCAAACATACAGATTGAGCTCTTTTACACTCATCGTATCGGTAGGAGAGCAAACTCGAAACGAACACCACGCACGTCTATTCAACAGAACGACAGCATGAAAAGTGAGGTACGAGGTCGACGGCGAGAGTTACCTGCTCTTGGCTGTGTTGGTCCGGTGGGGCCCTGTAGGGGTGGTCTCACAAGACAAAACGAGTTTTTTGTTTTGTAAATATTTTATTAAAAATATAGTTACAACTGTCGTAGGATTTAAAATGGACATTTTAATGCTTATATGTACCCCAAGGAGGACTTCTTCTGAAAAAGAATCCAACATTGTTTTCATTAACAAGCACTGCCTTTCGGTGAACTCTGTAAATTGATTTCCTCACCTTCCTAAATCATCGAATATTTCCGGCAACAGGAAGTTGAGCAGTGACCAGAGTTCTGCCAGGTTGTTTTGCAATGGTGTACCTGTCAGCAACAGTCGATGTGTAGTTTTGTATAAACGCAGTTCCCTGAAAAGCACAAAACAACAAACCCTGAGAAAACATTCAAGACACTATAATTTGTTTGATATTGTCACACTTGGCAATAATCTATCGCTATGATCTTGGTCATTGACATTCCACTCTCAAAATAGACACGCCATCAATAAAGGCGTGCCAACCTTGTTAACATGCATACATTCACTGACAGTCGTCATATGGCTGGAAAATTGTCAAGTAAGGTGTAATTAACAGACATTATCATGCATACATTCACTGACAGTCGTCATGTGTAACATGTTATATTTGGGTTTACACTTTCTTAGTAAAATACAGATTCTAAAGTACTGTCGGAAATAGAAAAAAAACTTTTAAGGCTGTTACTCTGTATCCCTAAAATTTACACAATTGCAAATAGCATATGTCAAAATAACCCACTTTGGTGTTCAGTGGGATGCGTAATACGATATCCAGAAAAGCATGTTTACTCCTAAAATCGGGCATAACTTAGAAAAAATACGAATAGCTGCTGTAAACAATAGATCAGACTATAGATGGCAATTAGGTCGCTCAGCCAGGTATGACGACGGACCGTTGATTCACCGGGCATGAAATGCACGTGCTGCCTACAGGCACGAGGGGTCATCTCAAAGATATTTTGTGCTTTTTCATGTGTGTTGACTATGTCTCATCTATTGATTAACATCTTAGGTGTCTTTCTTTCATAAAGTTTATGTTGAGATATGTAAAAGAGTATGATACCCGAAAACCATAGAAACGCATCGTAGTACATAGGTGGCATGACCACCCGAAGATAGACAGGACTGGATATTTTTTGTAAATTGTTATGACGTGCCGTGTACCTCCCCAGTATAATTGCCCTAAAGGATTATCTTATCTTAGCTGATTTCTCTATCCCCCAGCCCGAACCAAGGTTTTGCTCTTGAGACAACCCCTCCTATCTGTTTCTTTTTATAGTGACAGTGAGACTCCATGGTAGTTACATCCTTAAAAGTTTCAGCATAAAAGTTTTTTATTTTTACGTCAGCTATCGTTTATAATGAATCTACGTCTAATTTCAAATTGGGCATTTCAAAAGTGTCCTTTGTAATACAATATCGTCGCATACTAATTTGCATAAAGCCATGGTCTGTTCCAAATAAGTCTTTTTGGACTAATTTCCCCTCAGTAAAGTCCTTTTTCTCCATTTCATATGTCCCTACCACTGAGACTTAGTTTAACAGATATTTCACACTTTCCTATATCAACTACATAAATTGTAGATATAAATGAGAAAATACAGTTTTTTTCTATTTCCGACAGTACTTTAGTACTTTTTGGGTGGAGTTCCATCCGGGATTCGAACCCACACCCTCAGAGTCAGGAACCTAATCGCCAGCACACAAAGTCAGAATCCTAAATATAACATTTGTTACATTTCACTACTTTCTAAATGGCATTGTGTATTTCATAGCTTTCGGCCGTGGGAGCCGTGCCAATTAACACTTATCAGAGGGGTACACAAAGTCTGCAGTCTAGACTACCAGTTGTCCGACTTCCATTTTAGTGGAAGCCGCGGTGGCTGAGTGGTCTAGGCGTCTGACTTTGTGTGCTGGGGATTAGGTGCCTGACTCTGAGGGTGTGGGTTCAAAACCCGGATGGGACTCAACCCCAAAAGTACTAGAATCTGTACTTTACTAAGAAAGTGTAATCTCAAATAAAACATATGTTAGATTTGACCACTTTCTAAAATGGCATTGTGTATTTCATAGTCGTCATATGGCTCCAAAATTGTCGAGTAAGGTGTTAATTAACAGACGAAAACAACAAACACCCCCCCACCAATAATTCTTTTAAAAAAAAATAATAATAATAAATAAAATAAAACCAGGTAAACTTTCATGCCTATAGAGGTAACCTTGCCCCAGCAATTGCAAATATTTGTGTTTGAATGCCACTCGGCAATATTTACGTTTTATGATGGCAGCCAGGTAGAATCTGGACCAGACAAACCAGTGATAGAGTGAGCAACAACAAAAACAAAGTACAAAGACACACTACCAACAAAGTCACACTACCAACAAAGTCACACTAGCAACGAAGTCACTACCAACAAAGTCACACTACCAACAAAGACACAACCAACAAAGACACAACCAACAAAGTCACACTACCAACAAAGACACACTACCAACAAACTAACACTACCAACAAACTCACACTACCAACAAACTCACACTACCAACAAAGTCACACTACCAACAAAGACACACTACCAACAAAGTCACTACCAACAAACTCACACTACCAACAAAGACACACTACCAACAAACTAACACTACCAACAAACTCACACTACCAACAAACTCACACTACCAACAAAGACACACGATCAACAAAGTCACATTACCAACAAAGACACAACCAACAAACTCGCACTACCAACAAACTCACACTACCAACAAGACACACTACCAACAAAAACACACGATCAACAAAGTCACACTACCAACAAAGACACAACCAACAAAGCCACACTACCAACAAAGCCACACTACCAACAAAGTCACACTACCAACAAAGACACACGATCAACAAAGTCACACTACCAACAAAGACACACTACCAACAAAGTCACACTACCAACGAAGTCACTACCAACGAAGTCACTACCAACAAAGACACAACCAACAAACTCGCACTACCAACAAACTCACACTACCAACAAGACACACTACCAACAAAAACACACGATCAACAAAGTCACACTACCAACAAAGACACAACCAACAAAGCCACACTACCAACAAAGCCACACTACCAACAAAGTCACACTACCAACAAAGACACACGATCAACAAAGTCACACTACCAACAAAGACACACTACCAACAAAGTCACACTACCAACAAAGTCACAACCAACAAACTCACACTATCAACAAAGACACACTACCAACAAAGTCACACTACCAACAAAGACACACTACCAACAAAGTCACTTAGCACAACCATCCCCAGTTGCTGGGCACCAATTCGAATCCTTGAGGGTCTTCAGACTCATGCTCCAGAGGCCATACCATAGTTCCTCACCTAATAAGTCGACAATGTGAGTTCTTTAAGCGATGACCTTCATCTACAATGAGGTACTTCCAATCAAAGTGCTGCATGTATGTCCGATCATTCATGGCAATCTCGTATGACGTGATGATGACTGGTTGGACCTCCACATTCTTCTTGATCTGATGCTTCACTCGCATCTTATTCCGCAGATTCCGCCTTTCGTCTTTGGAGCCATGATACAATATGACCGGAACCTGAAAGACAAAAATGTAATTTTTTGAGTAAAATTGATATTTTATACTTATCCTGACTCATGCTCTTTTGCTTGTCCCCTTCCTCTTGCGAACATAGTGGAACACTTGTATCTCCTTAATTGAAGCTCCCTTCAATGTAAAATCACTAATTGGTACTCACCCATGAGTTGCCTCCCCTGCCGCAAGCGCGGGAACAGGTGTCGCCACCCTCTGGCCTCATGCTTCACTCTCTCCTGATTTTGCGAGCCCAACACTTGAATTTACAGGGAAATCCAAAGTGTTATGTGGGGAGGATGGGAGGGCTAACCTCATGAGTCAAGATAAGTATAAAATATCAATTTTACTCAAAAAATTACATAATTTTCCTTATCCTGACTCATGCTCTTTTGCTTGTAGAATCCACTGGAGTGGTGGTGGGCATAAACAGAATTCTTTGGATTAATAATTAGTGATTTAAATAACTTATACTGTAATAACCCCTGCGGGAACTTCATAAAGGCATTGACTTAGGATATTTCCTTTATAATAAGCCATAGGTTATATATACCATAACTGGGGTATTACATTACTAATAGACTGATATACCAAATTATAGATATAATAAGCTACTCTGATAGAGAAGCTGTACAACTGAACATAAAACTCAGTATGAGCTTAAGGTTGAATAACCTAAGCTAAATATATACATAGCCCTAGAACTCCGTGGAGTTATAAGCTAAATAATGTATGTATAATATACATAATAATCTTCGTGGGGGTGAATATTAACGCCTCGAGGGACTGTCAGTTGTTGAGCAAGGACCAAAGGACCCGAAATGGTGAATGCCAGAGACGCGTCCTCGGTGGTGATATCTCTCAGATAGTGATTAGCAAACACCATGTTAGATTTCCAGAAGCATCCTTCCATAATTGTATTCAATGAACAGTTACCGTGGAAGGCTGAGGGTGGAGGCCAATGCCCTGATTTCATGTGGATTTGATGCTGTTGGAGGGTCCAGTCCTGCTGCCTTGTAAGCTAGAATGACAGTTCTTATCCATATAGATATGGTGAATACGAGAGACTTCTGTCTGATTAGTAGGCGATAACGGGATGAACAATCTTCTGAGGCGATCTTCGCCCTTGTTTTGGACCCGGCGTAAATAGATTTTGAGAGCTCGTACTGGGCATAGAGATAAGTCCAATGTATCTTGAGATCGAGAATCGAGGATAAGCGCGAGGGACGTGAAATAACCTGTCTGGTTGTCCTGGTAGTTGATTTTTGGCGATGAAATCCCATCTTAATCCCAGGTGTGCTGTGTTTTGATTGTCATCAAACTGTATCCTCTCATAATCTAGAGCGTGAATTTCAGATATTCTGGCTGCGTGGCTAGCGATAACAGGAAAATTGTTTTCTGTGAGAGAAATTCAAAGGTTGTCGATTCCAATGGTTCATAATCCTCACTTGTGAGGTGTTGTAGCACTACATTCAGATCCCAAGCTTAGCGTGGAACTTCCGCTTTGGTCCTCAATCGAAAGCACGTAGTAAGGCCAGTAACTCTGGTGTTTTTGTCAATTTAACACCCGTTCTCATAGAAATCACAGAACTAAAGCTGCAAGATATGTTGACAATGTCGAAGCCTTTTAAATGTTTGTTTTGCCGTAAGTAACACAAATAGTCTGCCACTTGAGGATGCGTAGCATCTCTTGCTGTAAAACCCTTGTTTGCTGCATAATTTTCAAACTAGGCCACTTGTCAGCCGTACAAGTTCACGCGCTGAGTATCGTAATAAGAAAAGCGTGACCGCTTTTGCAGCCCTGGTAGAATATCCTCTCTTGTTTAAACACATTTTAATACAGTCCATACGCGTGAAGTTTGAATACTTCTGGGTTTCTGTGCACCTGTTTGGTGTGTGGATGTATTAACAGCTTTGAGCGCTTGGGTAGCTCTAGTGCCGGTTGACCCGATTTCTTGTATTAGATGCGGAAACCATGTTCTGGCCAGCCAGTAGGTAGCGACCAAAATGAGTTGTAGGCTCTGTGTTTGGCTGATGTTCTGTAATACTTGAGGTATTATTGCTGGGGCGGAAGCAGCGTACGCATTGAGGCCTTCCATGATATGCTTAGGCGTCCGTTGCCCATGCTTGTGGGTCTGGAACTGGTGACACGAATGTCGGTAGTTGATTGTAGAATCTTGTGGCGAATAGATCTACTAGCGGCTCCTATTTGCTTGATTATCTGTGCAAATATCTCTGTATTGAGCATCCATTCTGTCGGCAGCGGTAGATGTGGCGAGAGTGCGTCTGCTAGTATATTCCTGGCTCGGAATGTGGCATGCTTTGACATGTAGATTTAGATCTTGGATTAATTGAACAGTTGAAAGGTTAAAATCAAAAGGTTCGGCGATCTCGTTGAGCCTTGCCTGTTCACATAGAAGCGCCACTGTCGAGTTGTCGGTATGTATCATCAGGTGCGCATTCTGTAGAATGTTGCTCCAATGTCTTATGGCGTTGATTACAGCTTTCATCTCTAATGAGTTTATGTGGAGCTTGCTTTCTAGCTGATTCCATAACCCTGATGCTGTCTGTTTGGTGAGATGAGCTCCCCAACCTTGGGCGGCAGCGTCTACATATAGATGGGTTTTGAATTCCTGCTCTGCTAAACAGATCCCTTCGCAGACATTCGATTTCTTGGTCCACCATAGTAGATGAGGTCTGAGATGTTTGGTGTAGACTGAATGGTTGTAGGTCGTCGAGATGTGTGTTGATGAAGACCTGTAAGGGGCGTAACTGTAATCTGCCTATGACTGTCAAGTCTTGGGCTGATGTTAGAAGACCTAGTAAACTCTGCCATTGTCGAAGTGGTAGCGGAGAGAGTAGGGCTGGAGGAATGATCTGTTGGATCTTGAGCCAACGGTCTTCTGGTACGACTATACAGTTGAGATTGGTGATAAATCGAATGCCTAGGAATTGCAGATCTTGCGATGGTACTAGGTCCGACTTGTGTAAGTTTACTAACCATCCCAGCTGTGTTAGTAGCTTTATGATGTAGTTTAACTGTAGTTTGATATGCTGTGGATCTTGATCTACTTGTATCCCGTCGTCGAGGAAGAAGCGACTGCGTAGCCCTTGACGATGTAGATAGGTGACAATCGGTTTCGTTATCCTCGTGAATAACCATGGGGCTGATGTTATTCCGAATGGGAGTACTTTCCACTGGTAATGTAACCCGTCTAGAGTAAACCGTAGGTATTTCCTGGATTCGGGATGTATAGGGATGTGCAGATAGGCATCTTGTAGATCTATACTGCCCATGTAGTCCATGGGACGAATCATGCCGTAATCGGTAGATGTATCATGTGGAACCGGTGGTCTCGTAGATAAGTCTTGTAGAAGAAGCTCATGTTGTAAATGAGTCTGTATTTCTCCTTGGAGTTTTTCTTGGGTACTAGGAAAACTGGGGAGTAGAAACCTGGTTCGATGTTTCCTTGATCTATTACTTCTATGGCCTGCTTGGTTAGGAGTAATGTAACAGCCTCTCTTAACTTTAGTGGTTGCTGTGCCTGTACCTCGAACTTGGGAGGGTTGACTGTTAGTGGAGGCTTGGCCTGTAGTGGGATCTGAAATCAGCGTTGAAGAATGTTGGAGACATAGGTGTCTTGAAGTATTCCCCAGTTTTCCCAGTGTAGTTGGAGGCGTCCACCCACTTGTGACGGTTGTACTGGAGCGGCTGGGGTGGAAGACTCCAGTCGTTCGAACCTGTCTTTCAGCGTTTATAGTTTGCGGGAACCTCTGGGTGTCCTGCCTCTTCCTGACCCTCCTCTATAGTTGCCATATGGGCGTAAAAGAATCTCTTCCCCTGGAACTGGCTATCTTCCTGTCTCTTGCTCTTTGTAGGCCCGTGAATTTAGATCTCCCTGAGTATCTTTGTGAAGTCTGTCGAATGACACTGGCTAGCGTGTCCATCGATTTAATCATCAGGACTTCTCTGGAATCCTTGGTGACTTCCTTGGAGACTTTGTCTATTCCTCCGTCAAAGATGGATGGGGAAGACCACGGGGCTGTATATAGTGGAGCTGTAAAGTTCTCACCCCAGTTGCAGGAAGCGAGGAGGCCTTGACGACGAGCTAAGGTCAGTGCTGCTGAGACAGGCGTGAGATGATCTGTTAAGAACTGCTGGTCCTTCTTTTTGCATCATTAGTGCCGAGTAAATCATTCTATCATCTTCAGAGGTCGTGTTACGAAATCTGGTGATAAGTGTCTCATTTATTGTTCTAGATCTATTTAGACCAAAGAACATACGCCTCGTCATGGTTTCTATCTGAACCAATTTTCGATCATCAATCTTGTAGTACTTGTTCTTGGCATCGGAGATCAGCTTGTAGTTCTCATCGATGTCTATGCCTTGAAGAAGGGTCCATATTATCGTGGAGAACTTCTTGGCGTGAAAGTTTGGCAGATGTGGTGTTTGAACCTTCGTGGCTTTGTTGAATGCTGTATCTAGGTTCTGTGGTACCGCAATGTCGGGTTAGATTGGGGGTAGTGTAATAGCATCTGCATCGTCTTCTTTCATCAGATAAGTCTGCGCCGAATTGCCACTCTTGGAAGGTGATGAGAGATCTAGATTATTGACCATCCAATATCTTATCTCTGCATCTGAGAAAATAATTCCTCCATCATCTTCCATTCCATCATCATAAATGAGAGGTTGTTGCTCTTCTGATGTAGGACTGTGTGGCTCTATCTCTATATCGTTTGACGCTTGTGGAGATCTAGTTGTAGGCTTATGTGCAGACCTGTGAGGTGATCGACGTGGTGATGTATGTGGAGATCGGCGTGGTGATCTACATCGATAGGTTGATCTTCTTGGCGACCTATGAGGGGACTGTTGGTAGCTTCGCGAAGCTCTTGTGTAGTCCCTCGATGTCCTTTTAGATGATGATGACGATCTGGGTTCAGGTGTCCTTCGCGAACGCCTTCGCGAAGCTTCCTCTGCGTCCGGTCCTGGGGAACGGTGATATGACCTTCGCGAAGGCTTCCGTGAGGTCTGATGATCAGATTCTGTATCTGAGTATGACGCCGAAGAGGGTGATGATCTTTCCCGCCTTCGCGAAGGCTGTACATCTGGGGCCTTCGTGGAGGTGGTCTGTGACTTCCTTCGCGAAGGCGGCATCGTCGTGGCTGCTACGTTGACTGGGGGTGCCTCTGGGGTGCTGTCTCACGTTGGAGCCTTCGCTGGAAGGCTCGGACCCTGGGATGGCTGCTTCTCCAGTCTGTAGTGGCCTTCCATCATGATCATGATCTGCTTCATTAGATCGTCTGGGATGATCTCGGGCGTAGTAGATGGTGCCCTCTCTGCGTTGATAGCGGTGGGGCCCTCCAGCGATCTCGTCTGACATCAGTGTAGAGGCATCAGGCTGCATGGTGATCTCTGCTGAAGTCACTGTCGCTGTCACTGGTAAAGCTTCTTGTGGCGTATGTCGGGTATGATGATTGGTTGATCATCGTAGAGGCCCAATTCTGCTGCTGGAGCGATCTCTGCTGAGAAAGTTCTCGATGACTTCGTAGATTTCCCTTTGGAGGATGGCGCTGCCCTGGGGTACGAAGTCTGCGCGTTGAGAAGACGTTGAGGCCCTCTTGGACTTTATCTGCGATGACGGGATGTCTGGGGAGGCCGGTCGCTTCTTAGAGGTGACAGACTGCATCCCACGTCCCTCTTCCGATGGGGTCTCAAGCAGAACACCAGACGGGAGGGGATCGCTCGACAGCAGCTGACTGGATGGGAAATCCGATGTATCGGCCATGTCTACACCTAGTTTGCGTGACCTATCTGCAACACGTCTCAAGACGCAAAGATGGTATTTATTAAAGGCAGAATTGGTTAAATTAATGCAGTAACTGCAACGTGAATCAAACGCACAAGGCGTAGTACAACTAGGGCATACTACATGCGGATCCATGAGCGGAAAACGTAATCTACAAATAGTACAGTTTTTCATCAACGTAATACTAGCTGAACAATCACGAACTCATGTGAATAAACAGTAGAAATACGATTAATTATCAATGCAAATTAATGAAGGATACTAGCTATACCTTTATAGTAAACTATAAGAGGTAACTAACTAAGAAAACCAAAGGATATAGTGTGTAAGGAGACATAGGCGCTCTCACATCCTGCTCACTGGGCGAAGAAGGAGAGAGTGAAGCATGAGGTCAGAGGGTGGCGACACCTGTTCCCGCGCTTGCGGCAGGGGAGGCAACTCTTGGGTGAGTACCAATTAGTGATTTTACATTGAAGGGAGCTTCAATTAAGGAGATACAAGTGTTCCACTATGTTCGCAAGAGGAAGGGGACAAGCAAAAGAGTCAGGATAAGGAAAAATGTGATATTTTGACAATCCAGAAAATCTGACAAGCTTAAAATGCCATAATGAGTGCAGTCTGTGCCCAAAAGTCAACTGCGAGCCAGAAGTGCCTCCTCCAGATTTTAAGGCTGTCAAAAGCCTGACTTACTGGGGCCCCTTTTTACAAAGTTACTGTATCACTACAACAGCCAACATCTCATCGCCACCTACAAATCGCTTTGAGACATGGTTCACTAACAAACAAAAACAATGCTTAAAGGTCACATAAACCCTAGGGGGTAAAAATACATAAATCACTAACTGGCATCGTTATAAATGAAACCCCGTCATTAAAACTACTCATTTCGACCTTTAATTGACTTAAATCGACCTTTTTGACAACAGTGCACAATTCTCACCCGCGAACGAAATTTCAACCAATCAGAGCGGCGCGACTCTGTGACGTCATATGAGGAATAGCTTTGAGGGCCGATGCAGAATTCATCTACATTTGAGGGGTAAATTATCTTGTTTACAGGCTTGTATAAACCTGAAATCGTGACAATTGTTGTGGAAAATGAAAGCTATATGTTCTCACAATCTACTGGCATTTAATTTTGTCTCCTGCTTTGCCTAGTTTCCGAGTTACAACTTGTTTTCATAGGCGCTTCTGTCACAATTGATTGGTGTCGTTAGGCCCTATTTGTATAATGACTGATCCAAATTGATCCCATTTCTGTGTTTTTTACCTCGATATTTAATCATGTCATGTAAAAAATCTGTTTGTATTCTCAAAACAGTGTCGGCCCATAAGTTTTCACATGCAATACAGCAATTAATACTCCCTTGTTGTAACCCGTGTTAGGTGGTATAAACCTACACATGTTATTTGTCATCATTCACTTGATGGTCAGTTAATGAATTTATAACAGGTATAATTAGTGGTAACACACTTAGATTACCCGACAAAGGTTCCCATTTGGCATTTCTTGTGTCTGGAATAAATATTCAACATTATAAACATCGATCAAAGGATTAACCGATAACACGCTGATTGATTAATTACTTTTATCTTACACAGCGGAATTGTCAAAAGGTAGTGTTTATGTATGTAGATTTACTAATCTATACTGAATACACTCTGCCGTGTCGGTGTCTCGTAAAAGCGTCCTTCTTTCAAAGGATTAACCGGCAATACATTGATTGATTGCCCATTATTGGCTAACTAAATTACTGTTTTTAATGAAAGGCGGACATTATGCAATTAGTTGCCAGGTGTGCTATCTTGGGTGACCAATGAGACTATACACCAATACCTGAAAAGATTTATCACTTTTTCGTATAATAAACTGTTAAAAGACACATCATTTGGAACAGTTTTGTGGATATTGATGGATACATTCCTCAAACAAGGTAATGGCCTGATATTGTTCCTATAACTTTAATCTGTTTTAATTTTAATATTTGCATTTTGTTGTTTATTAATTTGTCGTAGCATTCAACAGAATCATTGTTTTCGCCGTGAAGTGTAACGAGACAGACAACATGCACTAGGGTGTGTGTGCGAATTATGATTCACATTGGCAAACTATAAAATGTCTAGATATTACAGTCCTGTTATAAATGCACAATAAGTATCAGCAGATCGTCTGCTTTTTACTTAGTTTCAAAATGCATACAAGTATGATAATAAACTGATTAGGATTATAAGACCAAAAATAAAGATGCACATTGACTAGTATCTACATACTGGTGAGTGGACGTTAACCATGTGAATGTAGCAAGAAATTTATCGCGCAGTATTGTGACTTCGACCCCCACCTCGCTTCCGTGGAAGAAATCGTTATGTTATAAGTTGTGTCATGCAAAATCCTTTTGGTTATGATTCCAATACATATTTAACTACGAGTAGAAAGCAGTTTTGATTTTCTAACTTGATGAAAACAAACCATAATCTCATTAATTCTAACAGACTTTACGATTTTCAAAATGGCTAGCCCTCTGTCGGGAACATCCGCAAGTCTGTGGATAAATGCTATTTAGGTTTGTTTTCACCGAAGTTACAAAATCAAAACTACTTTTACTGGTAGTAAAATATGTATTTTATTGATGGCCAATAGGATTTTGCATGACATAGCGATATAACATAACAATTTCTCTAATGGCATGAGGTGGGTGTCAATATAATACTACTTACAATATTATTGTTACTTCGACCACAACCTCACTTCCGAGGAAGAAATCGTTATGTTACAAGTTGTGTTATGGAAAATCTTTATGGTCATCAATCATATACATATTTTACTATAACTAGTAAGTAGTTTTGATTCTTTAACTTCCGTGAAGCGATCTGAACACAAGAAAGATATCGTTTCAGGCTTCCACAGCGCTAAACCGCACTCACAAACATAACCCATTTAGCACGAACTGCGGGGTCCTGTGGAAATCTGTGCATGGTGACACCATCACCCGACCCCTAGAGCAATTGGCGACAAAGCAACAATTCGGCATGTCGTCGTTCATGTCAGAAATCATCAAAATGATGAGCGTGCTACACACTTTCTATACAATTAACTGAAAATCGTTCCTCATATGACGTCACTGCAGTGCTCTGGCGACAGAGTTACGTAACCTGTCTGTGGTCGTTGGTGGGCGAGAGGGAAGCAGGCGACTTTTTGGCTACTTTTAATCGCTCGGTATTAATTAACCACAAGTTTTTAGAGAATAAATTTGGTGTTCCGCATAAGACTAACCACAAATCTTTCATATGTAATGGTTAAAAGAGTAACAAAAAACAAAGTTTAGTGGTTCTGTAACTCTTGAATAAGTTTTCTCATTTTGTTACAATAATTACCTGCCAATCAGTTTGCAGGCCACAAAATGGTCCTTACTGTCTATCTCAGAAAATTTGTGATTCTCGACGAGAATTCAATACAAGGTTCATTTCTACACCCTAATTGCCATTAAGACAAATACTATGTCTACCATGCTTGTTTAATGTTATTTAATGCCACAGACAGCAATATTCCAGGTGTGTGATGGCAGCCTGCAAGTCAAGACAAGTCTGTATGAGCAAGAGACTGACTGAGTTTAGTTTTACGCCGCTTTTAGCAATATTCCAGCAATATCACGGCGGGGGACACCAGAAATGGGCTTAACACATTGTGCCCATGTGGGGAATCGAACCCGGGTCTTCGGCGTTGACGAGCCAACGCTTTAACCACTAGGCTACCCCACCGCCGTATGAGCAAGAGAGATATGGTTGGGTATAAAGACACACCATCAACCAAGACACCCAGCCAGACTTTGGATCAATTTGGTTGCCTCTCACAATCATCATGAGCTGCTGCAGACCTATGTTCTTGTTCCGCTTTCACACTGGTCTTGTACCTGAAAGAACAATGCTATGTGTTGGCCAGGCCAGAATGTTTCTGAACTGTCTTATGCCTCTTACCTTTGGTGTGAATCTCTTGAATTCGTTATACCAATTGGGTACAGTTGATAGAGGGCCCACGACGAGGAAGGGGCCTGACACCCCCATGGCGACCAGGTGAGCTAAGAGAGCAATGCACTGCACTGTCTTGCCTAGTCCCATTTCGTCAGCCAGGATACCGTTTACACCATTCTCAAATAAAACCTGCAAGGACAATAGGTCATTAAAACATGCTCTTCATCTTCATAAGGAATTAAACAGAAATAAAAACAGTTTTTCACTTATAATGAAAAACCACTTTGTGAAACTAGGGCTGTCTCGAGTGAGTCAGTGAGTATACATGGTTTTACATACACACTTTAGCAATATTCCAGCAACATCACGGCAAGGGACATCAGAAATGGGTTTCACAAATTGTACCCTTGTGGGGAATAGAACCCAGGTATACGGGTGACAATGCAACACTTTAATCACTAGGCTACCCCACCCCCAGTGTTGTCTCGAAGTCAAAGCTTGGTCAATACATATGTATTTTTAGCAATCACTTTGTGGTTGTGTTGAAAAGGGACGCATTCAATTTCCCCAAAACTTGACCAATCGGCCCACTGATATCGGAGAGCAATATTCCAGCCCTGTGATGGCGATCTGTAAATAATCAACTCTGGACCAGACAATCCAGAGATCAACAGCATGAGCATTGTGTAATTTTCTGAGTAAAATTGATATTTTATACTTATCCTGACTCATGCTCTTTTGCTTGTCCCCTTCCTCTTGCGAACATAGTGGAACACTTGTATCTCCTTAATTGAAGCTCCCTTCAATGTAAAATCACTAATTGGTACTCACCCACGAGTTACCTCCCCTGCCGTGGCGGGAACAGGTGTCGCCACCCTCTGGCCTCATGCTTCACTCTCTCCTGATTTTTTTGAGCCCAACACTTGAATTTACAGGAAATCCAAAGTGTTATGTGGGGAGGATGGGAGGGCTAACCTCATGAGTCAGGATAAGTATAAAATATCAATTTTACTCAGAAAATTACATATTTTTCCTTATCCTGACTCATGCTCTTCTTGTAGAATCCACGGGAGGTGGTGGGTAAACAGAATACTTTGGATTAATTAGTGATTTAAGTAAGTGATATTGTAATAACCCCTCTTGGGGAACTTCATAAGGCATTGAGACTTAGGATATTTCCTTATAATAAGCCATAGATATATACACTATAAGTGGGGTATTACCTTACTAATATACTGATATATCAATATATATATATAAACTGCTACTCTAGCGTAGCTGTACACTGAATATAACTCAGTATGAGCTTAAGGTTGAATAACCTAAGCTAAATATGTACATAGCCCTAGAACTCCATGGAGTTATAAGCTAGTGAATATATGTATCATATATCTAATAATCTCGTGGGGGTGAATATTAAGCCTCTCGAGGGACTGTCAATTGCTGGCGAGGACCAAAGGACCCGAAATGATGAATGCCAGAGGCGTCCTCGGTGGTGATATCTCTGAGATAGTGATTAGCAAACACCATGTTAGATTTCCAAAGCATCCTTCCATAATTGTATTCAATGAACAGTTACCATGAAGAGGGTGGATGCCAATGCCCTGATTTCATGGGGATTTGATGCTGTTGGAGGGTCAGTCCTGCTGCCTTATAGGCGTAAAATGACAGTTCTTATCCATATTGATATGGTGAGTGCGAGACTTCTGTCTGATTTGTGGCGATACTTGGGATGAACAATCTTCTGGCGATCTTAGCCTTGTTTTGGAAACGGCGTAAATAGATTATGAGAGCTCGTACTGGGCATAGAGATAAGTCCAATGTATCTTGAGATCAAGAATTGAGGATAAGCGCGGGGATGTGAAATAACCTGTCTGGTTGACCTGGTAGTTGATTTTTAGCGATGAAATCCCATCTTAATCCCAGGTCGCTGTCTTTTGATTTTCATCAAACTGTATCCTCTCATAATCTAGAGCATGAATTTCAGATATTCTGGCTGCGTGGCTAGCGATAACAGGAAGACTGTTTTCTGTGAGAGAAATTCAAGCGTTATCGATTCAATGGTTAAGTAATCCTCACTTGTGAGGTGTCGTAAAACTACATTCAGATCCCAAGCTGGAAGTGGAATTTCGCTTTTGGTCCTCAATCGGAAGCGCGTAGTAAGGCCAGTAACTCTGGTGTTCTTGTTAATTTAACACCCGTTCTCATAGAAATCCACAGAACTAAAAAGCGGCAAGATATGTTGACAATGTCGAGAGCCTTTTAAATGTTTGTTTTGCGTAAGTAACACAAATAGTCTGCCACTTGAGGATCGTAGCATCTCTGGCTATAAAACCCTTGTTTGTTGCATAATTTTGAAACTTTGCCACTTGTCATCATTACAAGTTCTGGCGTTGAGTATCGTAAAGGCAAAGCGTGACGCTTTTGCGCCCTGGTAGAATATCCTCTCTTGTTTAAACACATTTTAATACAGTCCATGCGTGAAGTTTGAATACTTCTGGGTTTCTGTGCACCTGTTTGGTGTGAGGATGTATTAACAGGTTTTGGCGCGGCAGGTAGTTCTAGTGCGGTTGACCCGATATCTTGTATTAAAGGCGGAAACCACGTTCTGGCCGACCAATAGAGCGACCAAAGTGAGTTGTAGGCTCTGCGTTTGGTTGATTTTCTGTAATACTAGAGGTATTATTGCTGAAGGGAAGCAGCGTGCGCATTGAGGCCTTCCATGAAATGCTTAGGCGTCTGTTGCCCATGCTTGTGGGTCTGGCACTGGTGACCACGAATGTCGGTAGTTGATTGTTGAACCTTGTGGCGAATAGATCTACTAGCTAGCGGCTCCTATTTGCTTGATTATCTGTGCAAATATCTCTGTATTGAGCATCCATTCTGTCGTGACGGTAGATGTGGCGAGAGAGTCGTCTGCTAGTATATTCCTGGCTCGGGAATGTGGCATGCTTTGACATGTAGATTTAGATCTTGGATTAATTGAACAGTTGAAAGGTTAAATTCAAAAGGTTCGGCGATCTCGTTGAGCCTTGTCTGTTCACATAAAGCGCCACTGTCGAGTTGTCGGTATGTATCATCAGGTGCGCATTCTGTAGAATGTTGCTCCAATGTCTTATGGCGTTGATTACAGCTTTCATCTCTAATGCGTTTATGTGGAGTTTGCTTTCTAGCTGAGTCCATAACCCTGATGCCGTCGGTTGGAGAGATGAGCTCCCCAACCTTGGAAGCGGCAGCGTCTACATATAGATGGGTCTTGAATTCCTGCTCTGCTAAACAAATCCCTTCGCAGACATTCGATTTCTTTGTCCACCATAATAGATGAGGTCTGAGATGTATCGGTAGACTGAATGGTTGTAGGTCGTCGAGATGTGTATTGGCGAAGACCTGTAGCGGGCGTAACTGTAATCTGCCTATGACTGTCAAGTCTTGGGCTGATGTTAGAAGACCTAGTAAGCTCTGCCATTGTCGAAGTGGTAGCGGTGACAGTAGAGCTGGTGGAATGATCTGTTGGATCTTGAGCCAGCGGTCTTCTAAATACGACTATCACGGTTGAGATTGGTGATAAATCAGTTCCTAGGAATTGCAGATCTTGCGATGGTACTAGGTCCGACTTGTGTAAGTTTACTAACCATCCCAGCTGTGTTAGTAGCTTTATGATGTAGTTTAACTGTAGTTTGAGATGCTGTGGATCTTGATCTACTTGTATCCCGTCGTCGAGGAAGAGCACTGCGTAGCCCTTGGCGATGTAGATAGATAACAATCGGTTTTCGTTATCCTCGTGAATAACCATGGGGCTGATGCTATTCGAATGGGAGTACTTTCCACTGGTAATGTAACCCGTCTAAGCGTAAAACCGAAGGTATTTCCTGGATTAGGGATGTATTGGGATGTGCAGATAAGCATCTTGTAGATCTATACTGCCCATGTAGTCCATGGGGCGAATCATCTGCGTAGCTGCGGTAGATGTATCATAGTGAACCTGGGTGGTTTGTTTAAGTAAGTCTTGTTGAAGAAGCTCATGTTGTAAATGAGTCTGTATTTCTCCTTGGAGTTCTTCTTGGGTACTAGGAAAACTGGGGAGTAGAAACCTGGTTCGATGTTTCCTTGCTCTATTACTTCTATGGCCTGCTTGGTTAGGAGTAATGTAACCGCCTCTCTTAACTTTAGTAGTTGTTGTGCCTCTACCTCGAACTTGTGAGGGTTGACTGTTAGTGGAGGCTTGGCCTGTAGTGGGATCTGAAATCAGCGTTGAAGAATGTTGGAGACATAGGTGTCTTGAAGTATTCCCCAGTTTTCCCAGTGTAGTTGAAGGCGTCCACCCACTTGTGGCGGTTGTACTGGAGCGGCTGGGGTGGAAGACTCCAGTCGTTCCGAACCTGTCTTTCAGCGTTTATAGTTGCGGGAACCTCTGGGTGTCCTGCCTCGTCCTGACCCTCCTCTATAGTTGCCATATGGGCGACGAAAAGAATCTCTTCCCCTGGAACTGGCAATCTTCCTGTCTCTAGCTCTTTGTAGGCCCGTGAATTTAGATCTCCTGAGTATCTTTGTGAAGTCTGTCGAATGACACTGGCTAAGCGTGTCCATCGATTTAATCATCAGGACTTCTCTAGAATCCTTGGTGACTTCTTTGGAGACTGTGTCTATTCCTCCGTCAAATATGGATGGGGAAGACCACGGGGCTGTATATAGTGGAGCTGTAAAGTTCTCACCCCAGTTGCAGGAAGCTAGGAGGCCTTGACTGACGAGCTAAGGTCAGTGCTGCTGAGACAGGCGTCAGATGATCTGTTAAAACTGCTGGTCCTTCTTTTGCATCAGTAGGGCCGAGTAAATCATTCTGTCATCTTCAGAGGTAGGTGTTCGAAATCTGGAGATAAGTGTCTCATTTATTGTTCTAGATCTATTTTAGACCGAAGAACATGCGCCTCGTCATGGTTTCTATCTGAACCAATTTCCGATCATCAATCTTGTAGTACTTGTTCTTGGGCGCCGGAGATCAGCTTATAGTTCTCATCGATGTCTTGCGCTTTGAAGAAGGGTTCCATATTATCGTGGAGAACTTCTTGGCTGAAATTTGGCAGATGTGGCGTCTGAACCTTTGTGGCTTTGTTAAATGCTGTATCTAGGTTCTGAGGTACGCCCATGTCGAATTCGATTGGGGGTAGTGTAATAGCATCTCGTCATCTTCTTTCATCAGATAAGTCTAAGCCTTATTGCCACTCTTGGAAGGTGATGAGAGATCTAGATTATTGACCATCAATATCTTATCTCTGCATCTGAAAATAATTCCTCCATCATCTTCCATTCCATCATCATAGATAAGAGGTTGTTGCTCTTCTGATGTAGGGCTGTGTGGCTCTATCTCTATATCGTTTGGGCTTGTGGAGATCTAGTTGTAGGCTTATGTGCAGACCTGTGAGGTGTCGGCGTGGTGATCGGTGAGGTGATCGTCTTGGTGATCTATATCGATAGGTTGACCTTCTTGGCGATCTATGGGGGACTGATAAGCCAGCGAAGCTCTTGTGTAGTCCCTTGCTGATCTTTTAGATGAAGGCGATCTGGGTTCAGGTGTCGTCCTTGTGAGCGCCAGCGAAGCCATTATCGTCGGTCCTGGGGAGCGATGATATGACCCAGCGAAGGCTTGCGTGTGGTCTGGTGATCAGATTCCATATCTGAGTATGGCGCCCGAAGAAGGTGATGATTCTTCCGCCGCCAGCGAAGGCCTTAGCGAAGAGCTGTACATCTGGGTCGCCGTCGAGGTGGTCTGTGACTTCGCCAGCGAAGGCTGCATTGTCGTGGCTGCTCGTTGACAGATGGTGCCCTGGGGTGCTGTCACGTTGGAGCCTTCCAGCGAGCTTCGGACCCTGGGATGGCTGCTTCTCCAGTCTATAGTGGCCTTCCATCATAATCATGATCTGTTTCATAAGATCGTTTGGGATGATCTGCGGCGTAGTAGATGGTGCCCTTTCTGCTGTGTTAGCGGTGGGGCCCTCAGCGATCTCGTCTGACATCAGTGTAGAGGCATCAGGCTGCTTGTTGATCTCTGCTGGCGTCACTGTCGCTGTCACTGGTAAGCTTCTTGTGGCGTATGTCGGGTATGATGATCGGCTGGTCATCGTAGAGGCCCAATTCTGCTGCTGGAGCGATCTCGTCTGAGAAAGTTCGATGACCGTAGATTTCCCTTTGGAGGAAGGAGCGCTGCCCTGGGGAAGTGCGAAGTCTGCGTTGAAGAGCGTTGAGGCCCTCTTGGACTTTGTCTGCGATGACTGGATGTCTGGAGAGGCGGTAAGCTTCTTAGAGGTGGCCGGACTGCATCCCGTCCCTCTTCGATGGGGTCTCAAGCAGAACACCAGGCGGGAGGGATCACTTTCGACAGCAGTTGACTGGATGGGCAATCCGGCGTATCGGCCATGTCTACACCTAGTTTGCGTGACCTATCTGCAACCGTCTCAAGGCATAAAGATGGTATTTATCAAAGGCAGAATTGGTTAAATTTATGCAGTAACTGCAGCGTGAGTCAAGCGCACAAGGCGTAGTACAACTAGGGCATACCACATGCGGATCCATGGCGGAAAAGCGTAATCTACAAATAGTACAGTTTTTCATCAATGTAAAACTAGCTGAACAATCCGCGAACTCCGTGAATAAACAGTAGAAATACGATTAATTATTATGCAAATAACTGAAGGATACTAGCTATACCTTTATAGTAAACTATAAAGGTAACTAACTAAGAAAAACCAAAGGATATAGTGTGTAAGGAGACACAGGCTCTCACATCCTGCTCACTGGAAGAAGAAGAAGGAGAGTGAAGCATGAGGCCAGAGGGTGGCGACACCTGTTCAGCTTACGGCGGGGAGGTAACTTCGTGGGTGAGTACCAATTAGTGATTTTACATTGAAGGGGCTTCAATTAAGGAGATACAAGTGTTCCACTATGTTTAGCAAGAGGAAGGGACAAGCAAAAGAGCATGAGTCAGGATAAGGAAAAATAAGTGGCCTAAAGTGACTATGATGTAAGATAATTCTCAGATTTCAGCGGATCCATGGAAAATTCTCCTACCTGTACATGATTTCCTAATTTTCTGCCCATCCTCATATATGGCTTTATGCATATATATATATATATATATCTATATATATGACATCTTTTCTTACCGCCTCCTCTTCTCCAAGTTCCTCAGTGGTTGCACTTCCGGGTTCTGCCTTCTCTGTGGTATCGTCTGTGGTTGCCATCGTGGTCCGATCACTTGTGTCTGTTGTCTTCTGTCCTGTGTTGCCAGAGGCTTCTCCTTGAGTGTTATCACTTGTGGCTTCGTTTTCCTTGTCTTCACTTGGTGCTGCAGTTGTCTGCTCCGTCTGCTTTGTCTTCGCACTTTTCTTGGATCGTTTCCCAGGAGTCTGGGAAAGATACAACAGAATTCATCACCCGGTTTTCTACATGACACATGTATACATGTGCATCTTGTATGCACAAAAGCATAGTGAGTGAGTGAGTGAGTGAGTGAGTGCTTCGTATATTGTAACCATGTGGGGAATCGAACCAGGTTCTTCAGCGTGACGGACCCCTTTAACCACTGGGCAAACCCACCATCCCCACAAACGCATAGAATGACTGCACGATAAAAATTTTCATATCAATTCTTGACAAGAAACAGAAAGATTTTGTTATTAAAGTAATTATCAAATTTTACAGATCAATACACTGCACTATTTCATTACTTTACTTGACACTCATATTTCCAAAAAGGATCTCTGTAAGTTATAACTGAGGTCCCTGGACACCTAGGTTTGTAGGTCAAGGTTAAACCCTCAATCACCTTTATCTCAATGGAAGTCAGTCATCAAACCTACATTAGTGTTTAAACATAAATACATGACAAGTTGTTTTATGAAGTAGTTTCTCCAAACTGATGCAATAAAATAAAGAATAACAAATGGTGATGTTGTTCCGAGTAACTAATTATCATCTAAATAAACAATTCATACTTTTGGTGTGTTGACAGCTTCTGGAGACATCAGGTCTGATTTCCTTTTTCTTGACTTCCTGGTAGATGTCTCTGAAACTAATATGGAAGCATGGTCACTTGGCTGGCTGGCTGGGTATGGTTTTACGCCGTTTTTAGCAATATTCCAGCAATATCACGGCGGGGGACACCAGAAATGGGCTTCACAAGTTGTACCCATGTGGGGAATCGAACCCGGGCCTTTGGCGTGACGAGCGGACGCTTTAACCACTGGGCTACCCCACCGCCCCTGGTCACTTGGAGTGCAACAATTTATTTGTCATATTGTCCTGTCAACATACTGCAGTTAATCAGTGAGTGAGTGAGTGAGTGAGTTTTACGCCACTTTTGGCAATGTTCCAGCAATATCACGGCGGGGGACACCAGAAATGGGCTTCACAAGTTGTACCCATGTGGGGAATCGAACCCGGGCCTTCAGCGAGACGAGCGGACGCTTTAACCACTGGGCTACCCCACCGCCCCTGGTCACTTGGAGTGCAACAATTTATTTGTCATATTGTCCTGTCAACATACTGCAGTTAATCAGTGAGTGAGTGAGTGAGTTTTACGCCACTTTTGGCAATGTTCCAGCAATATCACGGCGGGGGACACCAGAAATGGGCTTCACACATAGTACCCATGTGGGGAATCGAACCCGGGTCTTCGGGGTGACGAGCGAACGCTTTAACCACAAGGCCATCCCACCACCTGCAGTGAATCAGATTATGGTAACATGCAATGAGTCAAGAAACTGCATCAGTTGCTTACATCTTGATTAACAAGCATAACAATAAGAAACACATACTTCCTAAAGTTCAATTTGATCTTCCATTTATAATGAATATTGATGTCTTTTGTGCCCATCGACCAATGACCGATTATTTAAGCAAATGCTCCAGCAGTGTCTGACAAATGAGGCATTCATAAACTTACCATCACTAGACTGACTGCTTGATTCAACCACTTCCTGTTCCTGTAACAAAATACAGAAGAGACTCAGAAAAACACAAATATTGATTTGAACAAAACCAAACAAGAGTCATCAGAAGATGACATATCCCCCCGGCCCCCACATCTTTGAAAGAACAAATCATCTGACAGTTACTTAAAGTCCAGCTTGATTTTAGACTAGTGCAAATCGTTCCATGGAAATCATGGAAAAAATAAATGACAAATATCTGCAAATAGCAAAAGGCACCACTTTGGGATCTGCCTCACATATCTGCCAAGTTTTGCTGAAAAATATTAAGAAGTTTTTGAGTTGTGCTCCGGAAACGAAACCCACCCCTCCTTTTAGGACTAAGTCCGAATCATTTCCATGGAAACCGGGAAAAATAAAAATGCCAAAAATCTGCAAATAGCAAAAGGCACCACTTAAGGTTCTGTTTTATAAATCTACCAAGTTTTGTTGAAAAATATTGAACGGTTCTTGAGTTATGCTTCGGAAACGAAGCCCACCCCTCCCTTTCCGAATCATTTCCATGGAAACCGGGAAAAATAAAAATGCCAAAAATCTGCAAATAGCAAAAGGCACCACTTAAGGTTCTGTTTGATATATCTACCAAGTTTTGTTGAAAAATATTGAACGGTTCTTGAGTTATGCTCCGGAAACGAAGCCCACCCCTCACTTTTGGGAATAAGTCTGAATCGTTTCCATGGAAACCGGGAAAAATAAAAATGCCCAAAATCAGCAAATAGCAAAAGGCACCACTTAAGGTTCTGTTTGATATATCTACCATGTTTTGTTGAAAAATATTGAACGGTTCTTGAGTTATGCTCCAGAAACGAAGCCCTCCCCTCACTTTTGGGACTAAGTCCGAATCGTTTCCATGGAAACCGGGAAAAATAAAAATGCCCAAAATCTGCAAATAGCAAAAGGCACCACTTAAGGTTCTGTTTGATATATCTACCAAGTTTTGTTGAAAAATATTGAACGGTTCTTGCGTTATGCTCCGGAAACAAAGCCCACCCTTCTTTAAGACTAGGTCCAAAACGTTTCCATGGAAACCGAGAAAAATAAAAATGACAATCTGTAAATAGCAAAAGGCACCACCTTAGGTTATGTTTGACATATCTACCAATTTTTGTTGAAAAATATAGAACGGTCTTTGAGTTATGCTCCGGAAACAAAATGATTACGGACGGACGGACGGACGAGGCAACGACTATATCCCACGGCATTACATGCCGATGGGATAAAAATGTACACCATTCTTCGTAGTTCATAGTCTGTCATGTGTTGGAATTTAACTTAAGCAAAATAGTACCTGTGTAAACATGTCTACATGCACTTCCCGCAAGCAAAATTACAAAAGTTAACTTCAAGTTAACGAAATCAGGATACTGATCAAGGTAGACATCTAATGGACACCAACCTTTGCCTGTTGTTCTTTGAGCTTGTCTTCCTTTTTCTTCAGCCTCTTCTGCTGTCTTTCCCTTTTCTTCTTCTCTTCCTCCGTCTGTCTATCCATACGATCAATCAGGTACTGTGTGTACATGTTGCTCTTGCTCAACAAGAACTTTAGACGTTGGTAGCGCTGGTTACGATCTTCATCTGTCATTTGTTTCCACAGCTGATGACCAAACATTGTATGTATTTACTCAGACAATACATAGTTAGGTCTTCATTCATGGCCTGCTTCTAATTATGTTTAAGGTGGTCGTTTGTTAGTAATCCAACCCGTAAGGCTTAACATGTCACCAATCCACAGTGATGCGAAATATTTTGACTGCTCCAAATTTATTCTCCGACAGTTATCAAAAATCGAATGCCATTTGGTTCCCCTAGCAGGCAAACACTCATAGACTCTGCGTCAGTCCTAAAGAAGACTTATTTCTCAGAGAAAGAAATTTCCCACCAGACCACAGGACCAGTGAGTGGACAATAATTAATGGTCCTGTCTGTACTTCACTGGTCCAAAATAACATTCATAGATTTACTTAACTATCAATACAAAATTCACTGGCCACCAGGACCACTGCAAACTTATCATTTAGTGGTCCTGATGAATTTTAACTAGCCAGGGGCCACAGGACCAACATATATTTCGCACACTGATTTCTGTAATCCTCTATCTGTTTATTATTTGTTGTTAAACACAATAATATAACAGCTTTATATGATGGTCACCTGTAAATTTGGACGAGACAAACTGCTCATCAATATTGGGATCAACTGGGATCACCAAGCCCGAACATCCGTTCCATTTGATGCGTCTTACAAACCACATGGGCTGCTGATGGCCATGTCTCGTGGGATGCCACGATACATCGATACATAGACACTTTTTCTAAGACGAAACAATTATCGATACATTCAAAACTGTATCGATATTTAGTTTTGAAACCATCGGTTTAAATATGTTTATGTATCGTTTACATTTTGCAGTTGTATCATGTTTTTTGATGTTATGAGAGTTACAAATGCTTATTTTTCATGCACAAAGATGGGAAATTAGAACTTTCTAATCTCTGAGAATAAAAAATGTTCATCTTTTCATGGACTATTATAAAATATGAAATATCAATGTTCAAAATGTAACTAAAATAGGTACTGTGACACGTATCGAATCGTGACATGGGTACCGTGATAAGTATCGATTCATGAAACTTATGTATCATGACATCCCAAATGCATACCCAGACCCCCAAGGGGTTTCATTTTCAGGACTTACTCGAAACAGTGGTCAATATAAATTGTCTTCTGTCCTACCTTTTCCTGATCTTCTGCCAGTTTCTTCTCTTTCTCCATCGCCTGTTCCTGGAGCTCTTGCTCCTCCTTGACCATCACCTCCGTCACAACACCTTCCAAAACCTCCGGCTTGATCGACAGTGTCTCGGTCACATCTCCCGGCTTGATCGACAGTGCCTCGGTCACATCTTCCGGCTTGATCGACAGTGCCTCCGTCACATCTTCCGGTTTGATTGACAGTTCTTCAGTTTTCTTTGAATGGATTTGGAGGGATGGGTTTCAGTCATTCAAAAATGACTACACATTATATATTTATCTAGTACTTCAAACAAAGTACTCCTGGCAAATGGTTGCAATATAGAATTATCCACAATATCCTCCCAACAAATCAACTACTTTATAAAATGGGATACACATCCTCACCAATATGTCCATTTTGTGAACAAGAAAGAGAAACTATCAACCATATGTTATGGGAATGTGAATTTGTTTTTAAATTATGGAAAGAAATAGAATCATGGTTGAACTCGGTACAGTTACAACTGGAACTTACAAATAAAATCGTTATATTGGGAATGAAAGGAAAAAAACAATATTCCGATTAATGAAATCATTTCAGTTGTCAAACATTATATCTACAGATGCAGCATAAATGGTTTCAAACCAAAGTTAGAATATTTAAAAAATGAAATTGTCCGTCACTATGATATGTCAAGATATGTTTACTTATTTGCGGGAACTGAACAATTGTTTCTTCAATATTGGTCATCATTACATCTATTACTTGGAAGATAATCCAGCCAATTATACTTTTTCAGCCAACTGTACATTTTCACACATGTATACATATACCATTGTATTATTATGAAACTTATCTATAGATGTTTGCTTGTACATGAAATATGGAGGAAAAAAAAAAAAAAAAGAAAAAAAAAAAAAAAAAGAGACATGAAACTTTCAGGGATTTCATTTTCAGGACTTACTCGAAACACTGGACAATATAAATTGTCTCCCAGCAGGGGGGGGAAAAACATAATTTCAATTATTATTTGGACTTGGCTTTATAATATTCATAAATAATGTGGGTTTTTTCCTAACATTTCATGTAATGCAAAAATGCAAAACTGTACATGTACATGTACCCTCTTCACATTTATCTGATCACTGGATTGTCAGGTCCAGACTCGATTATTTAAAGACTGCCGCCAAATAGCTGAAATATTGCTGAATGCGGCTATAAAACAACAAACCAAAAATATTCATATTCATATATTCAGACTTTTTATTAAAATGATGCAATAACGTTACCTACTACTACTACGATAATTTGGCAATATCTTAATCCAGTCTGGGAATTTTCACAGACCACTTCACACCTTGGGCTGAAAATCAACCTCGCCACAGGTGTACATATATTTCTGCCAGGCCTTTACACTGTGAATTGGTTAGAATCTTTCAACCAACACCAACCAACCAGCCAGGTCAAGTTTTAAAAATAGCAAGAGAAACGCTTGTGAAGATAGCTGCAAAATCAATATGGGGCTACATTAAACATTTACGTGATTCACAAACAGGTGCCCAGGAATCAAGTAGCTGTGCATGTCACTATCTGGCAACTAACTAGGGATTCTAGTCCCTACCAAGATTCAATCATTTCACCTACCACATTGGATTCTTCTCCACTTTCAGACATATCAGTCTTTGGTTCCGTCTTTATAGGAATCTTTGTGACCTCCTCTGGCAAACAAACAGAAAAGATCAAACTTCCCATACATTCAATGCGTATAATGGTCTGCCAATTGGCCTGAATAGTGTTTATCACTGGTTAGTTTAGGATTTGTTTCCAATGAAGATAGTCAGAATAGAATCTAGTTTATTTTCAACATACACATTTGCTCATATTTAATGCAAACCAAATTCCTAGGTTGCATTAATTTGGAAGTACGATTGTGAAATGATATCAAAAGATAACTGATTTGGTTTTTAGTTGTAAAAAAGAAGATATTATGTGCTTTATTTCTTATGATCATTGTGCAGGGCTCCAGATATACTGGAAAACCTTAAGAGTACTGAATGGAATTTACTGGAGTTTCAGTAATATTGTGTTTCGTTTCATATATGCACCACAACATTGCTACTATTGTGTAAACAGGTCAATAAACAATAAAACAATAATTGTTCAGATAAATACGTCTGTAAATGATTCCAACACCGTACACCATTGCTGTGGTGCGTATCTGCTACGTTTTCAAAATTATTTCCTACCGTATCGTGCATATTTTCTATCCGTACATACGCCGATACGGCCCTTATCTGGAGCCCTGATTGTGGATGTTCAAATAAACTAACAGAAAAACAGCCACATAATTTTATTTTGTCAAAAGACATTTTAGTTTAGATAAGGTTAATTTTTCGTCCAACAACCCTTGAATTTATCAGGAGGTGCAGCTCGGTGGTGACATGCATCAAAGAGGTTGTCAAAAAACATCTGTATGTAGTATGTATGGTGCTATCTTACGTTCTTTGATTTTGTTTGTGTATATGTGTTTTCTAAAGCCAAGGTTTGCCTTCATCTTCAACTTTGCTGTTTCTTCAACACTTGTTGCCTGTACACACAAGCGATACCCTGGGAACAAACCCATATCATTTTATTACTTGTATGTTGTAAGAGGCGACTAACAGGATCGGGTGGTAAGGCTTGCTGACTTGGTTGACACATGTCATCGTATCCTAATTGCGTAGATCGATGCTCATGGTGTTGATCACTGGATTGTCTGGTCCCGACTTGATTATTTACAGACAGCTGCCATATTGCTGAGTGCGGCGTAAAACTAAACTAAACTCACTCACTCTCTCATTACTGGTACTTAAAATAATTCCAGGACCTTTGTTTACTGTGTAACATCAATTATTTAAAGATATATAATAACACAGGCAGCTATTGCTCTTAGGGGAGTCATATACAAGATTTACAATAATAAGTGTCTGTGAAGAAAGGAAATGAATTGTGAAAGACTAATAAAAACTTGTCACCCATCCAGACCAAATTGTTAAAAGTTCGTCATTGGACAGTAGATCAACTACAGTCCGTTTGAGTCAGAAACAGACCGATGAATTGCAAATTTTATCATTGTACAAAATTGCCACATAAATATAAATAGTACACATGTTTATCATTTACTAATACCCAACAGCTTTCTTATATTTGAAAATGTCCGGACTCTACCCAAAAAGTTGTTTAAGAAACTATCATCATTGAAAACGCAAAAGTTGTTATCTGTCGCGGCGGGGTGAAACCGCAGAAACGGAACAGCCAGTCATGGCGGGGGACATCTCAAAATCTATTCCGGGAGACCTGTCGTTTCCTCGTCTGTCGTAGTGTCATAGTCACGACTTAAAGGGATGACAAGTGGTGCCACAGTTGCCTATTGTAAGCCATCCCGAGACCAGTAACCTTGTTCAATGACGTTAGCTACCTTGTTGACACAGTTTTGCCAAGTTTCAGTCGTGATTTTGTTAACGGATTCCTTAACCAAAACCTCAATGTCACGTAATCTAAAAGTTGTGTTTGATCTGGCAACATCTCCTTTGACAATACCCCATATCATTTCAATGGGGTTAAGGTCACAGTGATAAGGTGGAAGTCGCAGAATATCGTGACCCTTACTGTTTATGTAACTGTCAACTTTGTAGAAAGGTTCACCTTTGTGGGTTTTTATGATCTCATATAGCTGAGGCTTCGTTGCCTTTGAAGGCCGTGTGATCTGAAATTTGTCGAGCCATGATATCATATCACCTTTTCGACTGTTCGATATTGGGGCTTTACTGTCGGGGTCCTGCACGCTGTGGTATGGGGCATTGTCCATTACGATAAAAGACTTCTCTGGTAGAGCTGGTACCAACTTGTTTTTAACCAAATCGAGGAAAACCGCACCATTCATCTCGGAATGGTAGTCTCTGTTATCTGTGGACTTTGCCCTGAATACCAAGTCGCAGCCTGGAAGAAAGCCTTTGCTGGAGCAACCAGCATGGAGAATGATTAGTCTCTCTCCTTTCCCTAGAGGCAGCTTTCTACGTGATCCCTTATCAACCCCATCGGGTACCCACTGACTGCTGGCAGTTTGAGAGGCATTGACCCAGGTCTCGTCCAAGTACACTGGCTCGAACCCTTCCTCGCGTTTCTTCTTTATAACCCTGAGAAAATTATTTCTCAAGAACGAACGATATCAGGGCGTTCAGAGTACTGACCTATTCTCCCCGAAATTTTCTTATAACAATACCCGAAAGAGTGTAAGAGTCGCCAGAGTGTGTACTTTGATACTCTGAGGTTGTGTTCTTGCTTCAAATGCTATTTTAAAATTTTCAGTTTTACATGTATTTGTTTTCAGAATAGAGCTTGTTGATAGACTGCCTTACAAGGTTCTTTTGAAAGTTGTCCAAATGTTTTAATTTGTGTGATTTTGACACTACCCCTACCTGCTTCTCAAGATCACCCACACAATGTTTGTGTTCCAGAACATTTGTCAGTACCCCTTGCTGATACTCCTAAAGCTTTTGCTGCCCGCCACGGAATTTATTAATGGCATAAAATGGTTTGCCCCTTTCGGCTTCAGCATGGAAAAAATCGTACACTTTAAGCATCAACTGTTTCACGTCAGCATTCAACTTCATTTTTCATCAGGCATGTGTATCCCGTGCACGACGAGATAGTGGCTGTTCCGTTTCTGCGGTTTCACCAAGCCGCGACTGATAACAACTTTTGCGTTTTCAATGATGATAGTTTCTTAAACAACTTTTTTGGTGGAGTCCGGAAAATATAAGAAAGCTGTTGGGTATTAGTAAATGATAAACATGTGTACTATCTATATTTATGTGGAAATTTTGTACAATGATTAAATTTGCAATTCATAGGTCCGTTTCTGACTCAAATGGACTGTAACTTCAACAGTGATTGCTCTAACTTATGCGTAAACATACCCTGTACATTAGGCAGGGGGTCCTCAGTCTCCATGGCAGCGTCTCGACCTTCATTAGCCTCCTCCAATGGTACATTTGCAGAATCTTTAGGTTTAGCAGGAGACTCGCTACGTCCTGTATTCTGCAGAATCTCAACAGCTGACCTAAGTAAATTACAGCTAAATGAATATATGCCCAAATCTATTTAACATCCAGTCTTCTTGTGGCTCATTCAAATCCTGGCCTTAAGAATATGTCCATTTTTGCCATTGCTGTTTTGACCCAGATTTGAATAGAATGACACAAAATTCAGATCTATACATTACACTAGATTCACAGGGGCTTGTAACGCTAAAAACTGCCATCAAGGTATATACTGTCACTGACGGGGTCTTAGTACTATATAAAAGGAAAGGGATGTAACGAGGTCAACATACCAGGTTCATACTGTATGTCTCATTTTGTAGGTACATCTATTGGCTTAAAATGTGTGCATATTTTAAATTGGATAAATACAGTGAGCAATGTTGAATTCGCCCTGAAACAAACCTGGTATGTTGACAATAGATGTACCTACAAAATGAGACATACAGCACAAAAATCGAAGCAGTACTTTGGGAGCTAGGGTCTTCGGAAGCTCGAAAAATCTTAATGTCTCGATTCCGAGCCAAAATCCCTGCTCAGAATTTGTAGCGGTAACTCACCCATTTTCTTGTTTATTTCACAGTATACACAAACATGCACCAAAACATGTTGAACTGATGGCGCCTGTCAGCGCGCTAGTCGCCATTCTTTCGGAGACACTTACATCTCACTGTCATAATGAGTTTACGTGCATTTATTCATCGCAAACTGAATTGTGAAGACCCTAGCTCCCAAAGTACTGCTTCGATTTTTGTGCTGTATGTCTCATTTTGTAGGTACATCTATTGGCTTAAAATGTGTGCATATTTTAAATTGGATAAATACAGTGAGCATTGTTGAATTCGCCCTGAAACGAACCTGGTGTGTTGACCTCGTCACATCCCTTTCCTTTTACATAGTACTAAGACCCTGTCAGTGACAGTATATACCTTGACAGGGGCGGAAATAACCCATTGCCCGACGCCCGAGTCCAGTGTTTTTTCTGTCGGGCAAGCAAATTTGTATATCACACTGTACCGGTGTCCAGTTGACTTTCCAGTGTTAATTATGTTGTTTATTTTAAAAAATCAACAAGAAAATCGGCCAGTATAGTGGAAAAATTATCAGGGCAAGTGATTTTACTTGTGCCACTGTACCTGAGTACACTAGCAATTTTAAAGTTATTTCCAGCAGTTTGATGGCAGTTTTTAGCGTTACAAGCCCCTGTGACTAGATTATTAGTTTTCCTCTCATGACTGGACCTCCTCCGTGGTGTAGTGGTTAGCACGTCTGCCCAGAGAGCGGAAGGTCGCGGGTTCGATCTCCGATCACGTCATACCAAAAGACGTTAAAATATGGTACTTGTTGGTCCCTGCCTGACGCTCAGCATTAATGGGTACAACAAGGACTGGTCGGCTTGGAGTCAGTATAATTTGTCTGAGTGGGGTATTCATGCTTCACTGCGGCATGGTATCTCAGTGAGCTAGCACTATAAAACCAGCTAAAGTCTGGGCTAGTACAAGCAGCCACACATACAGATACACACGCATGCACGTCGTCATATGAGCGAAATATTCTCAAGCACAACGTTAAACCCAATTTCACCTCACCTCACCTCCTCTCATAACTGCTAATTAAAAACAGTCGCAAAAGTTGGTGAATGCTATGATGAATCATTCTCTTCCCACAGAGGTTACTCCTGTCATATCTTCCTACGTAACCTCTGTTCTAATACGGCCCTTTCATGGTGTGAGCGTTCAAGACTCGTGATTGGAGGCAATCAGATTTAGTTGTGCAATCAGCGACTTTGTTTCAAAAGTGATCACTCGCAAGGCCTCGGTAATTTCCGTATGCTTCGAGAAAACTAAACTTCGTCCCCTGCGCGATGCGTAAACGTTTCTTCTAGACTGAACTCAGTCATGTTATGGCGGATCAGTGGCGTCTCCATCGCCCTCGTTGACAACGGACAAGCTAGCCATTAAACGTCTTGTGTGTAACATCAACACAAGTCCCCGGCAGATGGGGGATATTTGTGGCCCCACATTTGCTTGTGTTAGTCAACTTGAATCTAAGTCGATGTAACACGTGTTCTGATTGGATAGAAAGAAGGGAGATAATTCGTGTTGCGATCTTTTGCGGCTAGGGGATTTTACGAGAACCGGGAAATATGGCCGTATTAGAACAGAAGTTCGTAGGAAGATATGACAAGTAACCTCTGTGGGAAGAGAATGATGATGAATATACTTTCAAAACAAGGTTTTATCAAATATAACAGATTGGACATTCAGCTAGTCCACAATCTAGAGTGGGTGGTGAGAAACTGGCTTATGGCCCTTGAAACAAGTAGATGTGGCCTAAATGATAAAATGGTACTTTGGGAATTCTGACCCTACCTTCCTAAAATGCAACTATTACTTGGCCATTGCCTAGTTTCATAAAATTCTTATGACTAAATCATAGGCGGATCCAAGGGGGTGTGGGGTGGGGGTGCGCACCTCCCCTTTTGTCCAGAAAGTTTGTTAAATGACCATTGAAACTCGGGTGGAAATGAAGTGTGCACCCACCCACCCTTTTCTCAAAAGTGTGCACCCCCCCTTTCTCAAAAAGCTGTATCCGCCCCTGACTAAATAGATATTTTAAAGATATCCCAACAATACATGCCACTATTTATCTAATATTTTCAAGTTGACAGCAATAATTAACTCCCATAACGAAAACATTATCCAAGAGAAAAAGAATATGTGTTATATATTACACACTATGTTTTGAAAATAGTTACAATGCCTCACTAGCAGTGAATGTCATAGCACAGGTTATTTTTCAGTTTGGGTATCAAAACCTATCGTCCCATCACCAATGTTACAGGTGTATTGCAGACACAAAATATTTAAAAACACCATACTTACATGTTTCAAAAGAAAAAGTTTCAACGAGTCTTGGTAAGCTCACAGTTTGTAATGTTTGTTGGTTTATATACCGCTAACACAACCATGCAACACACTTTCAGTGCGTTGTCTGCAGAAACTGTTAGGATGCCGAGTTGTGTAAGACATTCATTCCCGCCAAACAGATGGCGCTGCTAAAGGTCAAGGTGGTCATATGTCAAAGTTCAAATATATATTGCGTTTGAGCGATCTGATTTCAGTGATTTGTTTCCTGTCGTTCGAGGGTGAGTGGTGAAGTCATTTATGTCTTCACGGGGCACCAGTTATTTGGCAGCTATACGCTGTTTCATCTTACTATGTTTCGCAAGACAGGCAAATCACGATGAGACACATATCGAGAGGCATGACAAGTGAACGGGGAACCCTTGGCGAGCGTCAAAATGGAGATGTATATTCACTATTCCAGAGACCATATACCGATACCTTAAACCACGTGTTACACTTTCACAATACATACTGCAATACGCCAACACATATCACAATATATCGCAATACGAAAATTTTGGCAATTTCCAACCCTAACACTCACGAATGATAACGTCACTGTTACTATCATGTGTCGCCAGAGGTAAGCATAATGCAATATTTCATTCCTGATATCATTAATATATTTACAAAATCGGAAACATGCCCAGCTAATAATCCCCATATATGTCTCTCCACAAATCTGCATGACAAGAGTGTTGACTTTAACCTTCCAGGCGCGAGGCAAGCCAATTTTTTCGTGTAAGCCTGATAGGTTGCCAAACTTTATATTTAGATAGTATTGAGGGCTTGCCCAACCTTTATACCACAATCAAAAGCCCGGGCTTTTTTGTACAATGGCAGCTACGTCCCTGCTGTCCCTTTATGTCGAGTAATATCCCAGCAGCTCCTGGAGGTATAGTCGAGCACACTCTTTTGACCGTAATATAAAAAAGTATCATTCGACTCTTGCTCAGGAGGTCAAGGTCACAACATCCAAGGCATCAGTGAAGCTTTCAAAAAGCTTTATGGTACACATGCGAAGAACATTTCAAAATTTCATGCACCAGTGACAGAAAGGATGTCCGTTGCAATTCCTTATTTTGACTTGTACTATATACGGTCCCAAATCTTTTGAGATGAACAAGTGACTAGCCTTTGCGTGTGTTTATGACAGGTACCCCGATGGTGCAGGAAACGCATCTGGTATCATCACTATTGGACATTGATTCCTAAACACCTGCTCGTAATATGGGCGGAATTGAATTATCGACTCGAGCAGGTTTAAGTATACAAAAGTACAGTATACAAATGAAACTAGCATTGGATACACCTGCGCGGAACCAGTTTAGATACTGGGTTCTTCTCACCACAGTCACGTTATCCAAACTCGTGATAATCATTACGCTGATACGGATTTAAATCCACTTAAAACAGTAAAGTTGAGACACAACTAAGATTCTTTTGTTTTTGTTGAGAACAGTTCAGAGATAAAATAATCAGATCGCCCAAACGCAACCGCGTGTAAACAGTCCCACATGAATGAAATCTTTCCTGACGCGCGAAACGATGACATTCCAACAACTTCCTGTGTCGTTGTTTGTAAAGAAATGCTGATACGGAACAGCTAAACGATGTGCATTTTTCACAATACACTTTGCTGGATATTTGTTCGTATGAATAAGGGTATAGTAGCTATATTACACGGTCACGACAACACAGTTATTCATCCCGTGGGAGCTTTTTAAGTGTCAGTTTTCACGATTTAACAGAAGCATCTTACATTTCAAATCATCCTACACATTACCTTTTGATTGTGTGTGTGGGTGTGGGTGTATGTTGATTTTTATGGAGAAGCAATCTGGAGCATGTACAATGTGAATAACGCAGCCCCCCCCCCCTTGCTATATATATATACATATATATCGACTTATACATATCTCTATATAAATAAGTAAATAAAAAAGACATTCAAATAAAAATATAAAATAAATAAAACAAAAAAACCCATACAAATTCAAATATAAAATAATTTATTTTTTTTAAAAACAAATAAATAAATTTCTGTACGAAGTAGGTGACCATTGGTCATGATGCTCGTGTGTCGGCTCGGTCGCTTGGTTGCTCATAATGTCGATCACTAGATTGTCTGGATTTGTTATTATAGTTACAGTCCGACGACATGTTTAGCTTGAACATTCCTGTAATTAGAAAACCCCACCTATTTTACATATTTAAATTTTCACTTGAGGGGTAATAGGTTAATTGATGATTGCATGCGCCCTAGGTAATTTTCAGCTAACAGACACAGATTGTTGACGTTTCAGTGACGTTTCAGTATTCGGTGACCTCACAGAATATAGTGACGTCACATGCTAACATTGATGACGACACACGGACAATGACATAATATTATCTTCTTTGAACATAATATTATTCTCCAGTTGGTAGATATAAAGAGGATAGCTGCTGTGCCACTCGTGAACATATTAACTTGGTCATACCACTCTATGAAATATACCTGTTATTTGACAACATTAACAAAATATTCTATTTATTATATTTTGATCATTGTTTATAAATGATCGAGACATCGATCATTTCGTTAATGGCAAAACGTATTTCATGGCATTTCGTTAATGGCATTTCGTAGTTCCAGGCAAAAATGATATTCTACTCAGTGAAATTATTGTTATTTTTCCCAATATTTACAGTAATTCACCCTTAAGAATATAATAACTTCTGTCTTTTACGGACACTGTTTCGTCTCTAAAAGAATTCAATTAACATGGATCATGAATAGATTACTCGGATTATGAAATCACATATTTTGTACCACCTGAAGAGTGAGTGAGTGAGTTTATTTTTTTAGGCCTCTTTTAGTAACATTCCAGCAATATCACGTCGGGGGACACCAGAAATGGGCCTCATATGTTGTACCCATGTGGGGAATCGAACCCGGGTCTTCGGCATGACAAGTGAACTCTTTAAAAAGCAGGTTATCCCACCGCCTCGCCACACGATGGTCAAAGTTTTATACTAGTATTCATTTACATTTACTTTACATTTAGATGATAACCATTGACCTACTAGCTAGGGCTGCGCAATATAACCGGTTTACCGTTATTTACCGGTTCAGACATGAAAACGATACGTATTGCGATACGCTGATCGAAAACCGGTATTTTGACTTGCATTCGGAAATCTTCGTAACACTCGGAAATCTTCGGATATTTCCTTTTTTCATTTGTGCCAAATATTAATCACATTTTTATTTTTAATCATGAATAAAAGTTGTTATTAGAGCTTAATCAAGCATAGTGATTTTGCTGTGTATTTGCCCTATAAATCAAGCATTACCTCGATTATAAGTAGTTTTTTGTGTAAAATTACTTCACGCAATAAATTGCAATACATATTGCAAAACATGCTTTCGCATCGCAATATATCGCAATTTGAAAATTCTCTGCAATACCCACCTCTACTACTAGCATGTACGGATTATCTTGTCCCGAGTGAAAAAATGACGTGTTTTGTTTTTTACTTCCATGTCGAGGTACTCAGCCATATTCCAGGTATATGATGGCGGTCTGTAAATATATGAGTCTGGACCAGAAAATCCAGAGCATCATGGCGATACGATGACATGCATCAACCCAGTCAATGAGCCTGACCATTCACCCGATTCCGTTAGTCGCCATTTATGACAACCATGTGGCTGCTGAAGATCGGTTTGAACCCGAATTGTCACACATCAAATGTTGTAAGTCTCCAGTCACTGGACACTTTAAAAGTGCATACTGACACTTTAACAGATAAAATTAGGAATGTCGTATGGAATACCAACCCTGCAGAGAAACTTCTTTGACGGCACCGCATTGTGCAGGTGACGTCGTGTTATAGAGTTGCAACGTCATTGGATAACGTCATTTATTACCCACGTGGTCAACGTATGGGTAGTTGCATATTAATCTCGTACGTCACACGAGTGTCGTATCGCGTTGACCTGTGTCGTAACGACTTGACCTGAAATTCTAACGATTTGATTGGATAACCGATGACCTCTCAATTAGGTCACATTCTGACGTAACTATTTTTTCATTCATAACAAACACGTGAATTCATTCATTCTACAACTTAAATGCATTGTGGGGAATGTAAACATTGCGAACGTTGCCGTGTCGCTGTTTAATTGTGAGTCGAACTGAGACATTATATCTGTCGAAAAACATAAACGCAATGTTTCCACCAGTGATGTTAGCCGAATGAAGCAACTGGAAACCAAGAAACGAGGTGCAACGGAGTAGTTTACTGTAGGAGGCTGTACGAGGCGATGACAACTGACATGTATCGCGACGTCGGTTACCATGGCAGTGACGTCATTAGTGTGACGTCATGCAAATATTGTACTACAGTACAAAACTCTTCCGCAACCTCTTTATGAAACCGGTTTCGGTTTGAAACCAAAAACAACAAAAATACGCTATTTTGTCAATTTAAATGCATGTAAGACGTGGGTAATAAATAAAATACCACATTCGGTCTCATTACATACGAATTATGCGAAACTCGTGACCTTCCTATGTTATCTGACCTCGCTTTCGCTCGGTCAGATACCATAGGAAGGACACTCGTTTCGTATAATTCGTATGTAATGAGACCTCGTGTAGTATTCTCTATATCTTACAACAGCACACTGTGACGTATATTGGCTTCAACTGACCAATCGACTTTGTGGTTCGTTGACATTCACATGCGCAAATATCGGAAAGACATTACATGCGATTATTGTGTATCACATCTGGTCGGCAAAAACAGTGCCAGTGAAAAAGAATATAATTAATCATTTAAATGGTTTTAGCTTTATCTGAAGTAAAAACTTTCCCCGACAAAATCCACTTCAACGACATTTAGTGAATTCCTTATTCTTGTCCAATTAAACGGATCAAACGATCTGTCCCATCTCTTAAGCCCAGCAAGACAACTGCGCAGTGTCCTCGACGCGTGGTGGAGATGCATGCTTTCTGCACGCTCTTAAAAAACTGTATCCGCGAAGTAAGGTGTTTCTGTACAAATGTGCAAACCGTTTGCAAAAACTGCAACGAAAAGGACAGACCTGTACTGTACTTTAGATGACAACTAAAATCA